CCCCACCCACCAAGAGCCAATACAGAGAGGAGGCTGGGCCCACTGTTAGCAACTTCAGAGGAGCTGAGGCCCCATGGGGATTAATGGTCCCCCCCCTCCCCCCCCCCTCGATCCACGGGCTGATTCCTTTGGTCATTCCAAAATCTGCACACTTCCTGGACTAGTCTTGGGAACGAGAGAAAACTAATTTTTAGGAGAAAAATTGAGGTAGGACCCTGAGGAAGGGCTGAGTCCAGTTTAGGGTGCATGGAGAAAACCCTCGCTCAAGTAAACAAACATCTGGGCATTGTTGGGCTCCTTTCCTTTCTGGCTCCTTTCCTTTCTTTCTTTCTCTCTTTCTTTCTTTCTCTCTCTTTTTTTCTTTCTTGGGTCCAGTCATGGGGCCTGAACTCTGGGCCTGCACACTGTCCCTCAGCTCTTCAGCTCAAGGCTAGCGCTCTACCACTTGAGCCACAGCGCCACTTCCAGATTTTTTCTTTTTTTTTTTTTTTTGGTCGGTCGTGGGGCTTGAACCCTGGGCCTAGGCGCTGTCCCTCAGCTCTTCAGCTCAAGGCGAGCACTCTACCACTTGAGCCACAGCGCCACTTCCGGTTTTCTGGTAGTTTATTGGAGATAGGAGTCTCACGGTCTCTCCTGCCCGGGCTGGCTTTGAACCGCGATCCTCAGATCTCAGCCTCCTGAGTAGCTAGGATTACAGGCGTGAGCCACCAGCGCCCGGCCAGCTTTTTTCTTTTTGCTTATGTGGTGCTGAGGAACCAAACCCAGGGCCTCAGGCATGCAAGGCAAGCACTCTACCACTGAGCCACCTTCCTAGCCCACTTGTTGGTTCATTTCTGTAAACCTCCCTAGGAAGGAGGAGGATGAGACCTGAGAACAGAGGTTCAAGGCCAGCCCAGGAAAATGACTCTTATCCTCAATTAACCAGCGAGAAGCTACAAGTGGAGATGTTGTTCAAGTAACAGACACCAGCCTTCAGCACAAAAGCTAAGGGAGAGCTTGAGGCTAGGAGTTCAAGCCCCGGTGCTGGCACAAAAAAGAAAAGAGACAAAATTAAAAAAAAAGAAAAAAACAATAAAACAGCGGGAGGCTGGGAATATAGCTTAGTGGTGGAGTGCTTGCCTAACATGCATGAAGCCCTGGGTTCCATTCCTCAGTACCACATACACAGAAAAGGCCAGAAGTAGTACTGGGGCTCAAGTGGTAGAGCGCTAGCCGTGAGCAAAAGAAGCTCAGGAACAGTGCTCAGTCCCTGAGTTCAAGCCCCAGGACTAGCAAAAGAGAGAGAGAGAGACAGAGAGAGAGAAAGGTGTGCTAGGTGCTGGTGGCTCACGCTTGTAATCCTAGCTACTCAGGAGGCTGAGATCTGAGGATCATGGTTCAAAGCTAGCCTAGGAAGGAAAGTGCTTGAGACTTCTCTCCAGTTGACCACCAGAAAATTAGAAGTGGTCCTGTGGCTCAAAGTGATAGAGTGCTAGCTTTGAGCAAAAACAAAAAAAAGAGCTCAGGGACAGAGCCCAGGCTCTGAGCTCTAGTCCTATGACTGATTTTAAAAAAAAGTAATAATCATAAGAACAAAAATAAGTAAAAATTGTATAGTGGAAGAGGAAGAAGTTGACATAGATCTTATCACCAGAATAGAATCACCAGAATATGTATATAATATATATATATGTATTCCATTTCTATTTATATTCCACTGTGTCTGCCAAAGGTACACACTGCAGAGAACTCGGTTGTGGTGCACACGTTCACAGTCAGGCACCTCAGGAGAATAATCTACATTCCCACTCAGGTCTTCCTCCACTCAAAGAAGCCACAGACTTCAGCAACACTCTGAAAAGCTAAATAGCAATTACTGGAGGCTTCTCTTCTCTGACCCAGCCCTTTTCAGCTCTGAAGGGATTTTTCCACAAGAAGAGATGGGGTGTGGCACGGACCCTGACCCGGAAGTTCTAGAGATGGGAAGACACCTGGACTTGTGCACCTCCTCCTCCAATGTTCTTCTCACCGTATTTTCCACCTCCAGACTGAGTCTCAATCTCCTCCGCACCTACCAACCCATGTCCTGTGGCTTAAACTCAGTGCCTGGGGATAGTGTCCCTGAGGTTTTTGGGATCGCAGGGCTTGAACTCTGGGCCTGGGCGCTGTCCCTCAGCTCTTCAGCTCAAGGCTAGCGCTCTACCACCTGAGCCACCAGAGCCACAGTGCTACTTCTGGTTTTCTGAGTGGTTTACTGGAGATAAGAGTCTTAGGACTTTCCTGCTCAGGCTGGCTTTGAGCTGTGATCCTTAGATCTCAGCCTCCTGATTAGCTCGGATTATAGGCACGAGCCACCAGCATTCGATCCTGAGCTTCTTTTGCTCAAGGTTAGCACCACTTCTGGCTTTTTCTGAGTGGTTTATTGGAGATAAGACTCTCAAAGACTTTCCTGCCTTGGCTGGTTTCAAACTATGATCCTGGGTAGCTATGATTACTTGAGTCACTGAAATAAGGATACTGGATCTAAGTAAGTAACATGCTTTCTTCTTACAGCCACTCTGGCACCTAGCTGGGTGATGGAGGTTTTTCACTCAGCAGTGAAAAGTGTAGAGGTAGCTGGGTGCTGGTGGCTCATGCCTATAATCCCTACCTACTCAGGAGGCTGAGATCTGAGGATCACAGTTCAAAGCCAGCCTGGGCAGGAAAGTCGGTGAGACTCTTATCTCTAATAACACCCCCCCCAAAAAAAAAAACAAACTGGAAGTGGCGCTGTAGTTCAAGTGGTAGAGCGCTCACCTTGAGCTGAAAGAGCGCAGGGACAGTGCCCAAACCCAGAGTTCAAGCCCCAGGACCGACCAACAAAAACAACAACAACAACAAAAAAAAAAAACCCAAAAAAACTAGAGGTGAGATAAGCCATTCTTTGCATTGCAGGTACACAGATGTCACGCTGTTTAGCCCCAGGGAAGTTTTGCTCCAGAGAATGCTCTCCCTGAAGGTTGCTCACCCCAAGCATGTGGTTTATGTCTTTAAAAGTTTGGTGCAAGTTCGACTGGACTCTGGGCTGCAGGTCTGGGAGGCAGGAGTCAACCTGTAGTTCTTGGTGTCCTAATAAAGCCTCCCAGTTCCACCTCTCAAAATGTGATTTGTTTCTCACGGACTGAGTTCCTGTACAACACTACCAGCGCCTGGCTCTCAGGCTTTTTAACCTCTGTGTGTTTATTTTATTTTACTTTATTTTGCTTTGAGTTTTGAGACTGGGTGTGAGGCAGATGCTCTACCACTTGAGCCACATTTCTACGTTCTGCATTTTGCTAGTTACCTGGAGATGAGTCTGCCTGATCTGGCTTCAAACTGGAACCCTTAGATCTCAACTCCAGCCCATAGTGCCGCCCACCTCATTGTTAATGGCATGGCAGTGCAGGGACAGTCATGATCCTCCCTCTACCTGCTTCCACGAGATAGGGGGCAGATGGGGCTTCACCTCCAGAGTAGGGGGTTGGACCAGTCTCAAGGGACCCTGTGGGCAGAAGCAAGGACCCAGTCCAACAGCTAAGACAGGAAGGGAACCCATTGATCTCACCCTAGGCCACTGCAAGAAGGCTACTGACCTCAGCCTGGGTTCAAGACAGTGCCATCTTGGGCCCAGTCCAGAGCTTCTCCCAGGTAGATAAAGCACTCCTGGGTGTGGAGGGAAGATCAGCCTCACCCCAAAGCTCCAAGGGAAACTTCAGGAAGTGGGTGGGTGGTGGCCACGCCCTTCTCTTCTGTTGGACTCCTGGCTGGGCAGTTTGCCTAGTTGACTGCACCCACAATGCACGGCACACCTGTCATGGCCAGGCCAGAGGACAAGGGTGGGTCCTGTGAGTCTGGAGTTCTCTTCTAGAAAAGCAACTCAGGACACATTCTCCCTGAGGTTGAGGGCTAATTTAGTTCTGCCCCTATGTGAGGTTGGACTGCAAGAGCAGATAGGTAAGGAGTCCAGAGCTGGTCAAAAGTTGAAGCTCTGGGTGGTTACCAGGGAGGCTCCCAGCAGGCTGCTACCTGTGAAGGCTGAAACCCAACCTGACTCAGTGAGACCCAGGTGTGGTCTGTTGACAAGTCAGAGTAGGGCTGATTAGCTTGACCACGGGCTTTCTCACCGGCCGCCAGCTGTCTTTAACCTCTGCTTGCCTAGTTTGGAGCCGTCCTTTCTTCCTCTGCCTGCTTTAAAATCCTGTTCCCCCTACTCAAGTCTGCTCAGCAGAGTTCTTCAAAATGGGTGTGCATTCCCTTTTGGGGTAAGGAAAATGAGAAAGAGAATGTGTTACAGGCCCTGAATTGTTCACTTTATTTTTTGCTTGACTCAGGGCCTGGGTGCTGTCTGTGAGCATTCTCTTGCTCAAGGCTCATGTTCTACCATGTGGGCAACAGCTCCACCTGAGTTCCTGAGTTCAAGCCGCAGGACCAGTACAACATGGCTTTGTGATACTTTGAGAATGTGTCCTTTTTCTTCTATTTCAGCAGTATTAAGTTTAAAAAAAAATTATTTTGCTAGTTGCCGGGGGCTCATGCCTGTAATCCTAGCTACTCAGGAGGCTGAGATCTGAGGATCACAGTTCAAAGCCACTCAAGTTTTAGCACTAAAGTTTTTTTTGTTGTTGCTGTGGGGTATGAACTCTAAGCCTGGGCACTCTTCAGCTCAAGACAAGCGCTCTACCACTAGAGCCACAGCGCCATTTCTGGTTTTCTGGTGGTTAATTGGAGCTAAGAGTCTCACAGACTTTTCTGCCTGGGTTGGCTTTGAACCACGATCCTCAGATCTTAGCCTCCTGAGTAGCTAGGATTACAGGTGTAAGTCACTGGCGCCTGGTTTTTCGATTATTTTCTGGGTATAGTCTTGTGCTTCTTTGCCCAGTACTGGCCTCTGACTGTGATCCTTGAACTATCTATACTTCCAGCCTAGGTGAGGTTACTTTCAATATATCTAAAAAACAGAATACTATACGACCATTAGGAATGTTGATAAAATTGTATATTTATTCACTTGAAGGTCTTAAGTAAACAATGTAATAGGAAATAAGTTAGAAAAGAAAAGTGTATTCCAAAATAATAAAAGTGATCTTTTTGGAAATATAAAAATATACAGAATGTCACTATTACTAATCCAAGGAGCTGATTAGTTACCATATTCCCCAGCCTCTCCCCTTCCCCCAGCCACACAAACCTACTCAGGGGGGTTTTCCCTCGACAGGGGTGAGGAGTTGAGCCGGGGCCTTGGGCTAGGCAAGGCAGGCACTCACCACTGAGCCACCTCCCGAGTCCCTTTCAGGTTTTGGTTTTTCTCCCCTATGCTGGCATTGAGCCAGAGCCTCCAGCACACTAGGCAAGTGCTCTACCACTGAACTACATCCCAGCCTGCTCCTCAGATTAACTGTTATGCATAGCCTGGTCCCTACTATTATGGAGAGCCTTGGAGAATGGGATATAAATTATGGGATCCTCTCACCTAAAAAAAAAAAAATCTCAGTAGGCATCCCAGCTGTTGGCTAGTTTTGGGGTGTCTAGGACCCTAGTGTAGTAGGGTGGCCAACCTCGTTCTAATTTTTCTTGTATTCTATCCCCCACTCCCAAGAACCTCTTCTTCCAAGGTCAGGGAGCCTCTGTTAGGCAGCTTGGGCCTCCTGGGCCATTGTCTGGGCCCCAGGCTATCCCTTCTGTTTCTGTCAAGGTTACTGGAAGCAGCCATGTGACCAGCAGAGGGATGTGCAAAGGCTGAAGCCGCCCCAAGGCCTGCCGAGAACCTGCGGAGAGCCCAGGGGGTTCTTGCAATGTCCCTACTGTCACTGGTCCCTCAGGACAACTCTCAGACTATGGCTACCCCCTGGCTCAGGGGCCATCTCAGCCTGAGGCCAGGCCTCTTTGGGGTGCACAAGTCTAATAAAGCTACCTCAATTATCTTGCCCCTCCCCAACCAATGTCCTTCCTGTCTATCCTGCATGCATATGATATCATTTGTGCTGACTGGGTCCTGGAACGAGATGGGAATGAAGTCCTAAGAGTGGCCTTAAATGTCACAAGGCGAGCTCAAGGCACTATTATACATTGTAGGACCCTCCAAGACTTCTTATTAACAGAGCTGACAAGACTTCCTTCTTTTGTACGTCCCTTTAAAGTCTTGGGCTGGTAGGGGCGTGGGCAGTTGGGTGGCTGCTAAGGGGAAATGGCAGCAAGTCAAGGTCACTTGGGAAAATCCTCCGCCACCAGGTGGCGCCACTGACCAGTAAAGAAGAGCCGGTGGCTTGGGCAGCTGAATTCCTCGTCTGATCCAGGCCCCCACACCAGCCAAGGAAGGGCCAGTCCTGAACTTATGGGCATGGAGAACACAGGTATGGTCAGCTCTCCCTTTTGTCTCCCCTCAGCCTACACCTGTCCCCTGTACTCACCAAGTCCTGTTCCTTGGCCACTATTCCTCCCCACCTCTTCTCTTCCTCCTTCAAGTCTCATCCACAAAGTAAAGGAGAGATTTTTCTTAGCCCTGGCAAAATAAAAAGAAATCCCAAACACTTCTCTTCCTTTTAATATCTAAGGTGAAATAAAAGAACAGACCACAGTAACAACGGTTTGCATTTGGGGTTCCCTTCCAGGGTGTCAGAGTGTCCTGCGGGACACAGACTGCTCCAGGCAGTGTGCAGGCCCTGTCTAGTGGCTGGCACCCATCCGGGTCTCTATCCCAGGATCAGGGACAGCCCAGGGCCCAACCTTCCAGAATGTTCTCAAAGTGCTGTGGCTTTTCCCTTGAAGCTGAGCTGAGAGCTGAGGATTATTTCCTTTTTTTTTTTGTTGTTTGGTCATGGGGCTTGAACTCTGGGCCTGGGCGCTGTCCCTCAGCTCTTCAGCTCAAGGCGAGCGCTCTACCACTTGAGCTACAGTGCCACTTCCGGTTTTCTAGTGGTTTATTGAAGATAGGAGTCTCACGGCCTTTCCTGCACGGGCTGGCTTTGAACTGTGATTCTCAGATCTCAGCCTCCTGAGTAGCTAGGATTACAGGCGTGAGCCACAGGCACCCGGCTGAGGATTATTTCTTATGAAGAAACTTCATTTTATTGCCTGAAAAGGAAAATGAGAAGAACATTTTCATCAGGCCAGTTCAATTTTTTTTTTATTTAGAGAATACTTTATTAGCTTCTGTAATCAAACTCACGTAGATGAGACCTTACATATTTAATACAGTGCGTTTACCCCTGTACAATTATTTTTTTTAGGCCAGTTCAATTTTGCCCTTGCCATCTGGATATGGTATGGATAGCAGGCCCCAGGGCACCCTGCGCTACTCAGGCTCTAACTCAGACTAAAGGAGGAGGAAGGATGTCTTCACTATGATAACAGGATTAGAACGCAGGGCACAGGTTCCACGGCCCATGGCCAATGGGAAGGTCCCTCCTCACCCATCTGGGGCCTTGATCTCGCCAATCTTCCCGCTGACTTTCTCCCCATCCTCCCTTTCCCAGTGAGAGCCTTTAAAAAAGTTTTTTTTTTTAGCATGTTAACTGTATAGACAGGTTTTATTGTGGTATTTACATATATGCATATAATGTACTTTGCTCAAAAATTTCCTCCTATATTATTATTTTTCTTCTTTTTTTTGGCCTTGTACTGGGGCTTGAACTCAGGGCTTGGGCCCTGTCTCTGAACTTTCATGCTCAAGGCTAGCACTCTGTGACTTGAGGCATAGATCCTCTTCCGTTTTTTCTGGTGCTTAGTTGGAGATAAAGTCTCCTGGGCTTTCTTGCCCTGGTTGGCTTTCAACCATGATCCTCAGATCTCAGCCTCCTGAGTAGCCAAGATTATAGGCATATATTGTGTGTGTGTGTGTGTGTGTGTGTGTGTATGTGTACGCTGCACGTGCGCGTACATGTGCACGCTGGTACTGGGCTTTGAACTCAGGTTCTTGAACTCTTGCTTAGCTTTTTCACTCAAGGCTGGTGCTCTGCCCCTTGAACCGTACTTCCACTTCTAGCTACTTAATCAGAGGTAAGAGTCCTTGGATACGTCTGTCTGTCTGGCTTAGAATTTTGATCCTCACAGCTCAGCCTCCTGAGTAAGCTAGGATTACAGATGAGTTACCAGCGGGAGGCTGGCAGCAGAGATCTTACCAAGACCTTTGAGGAATCTGTTGACCCCGCTGTGCACGCCGCTGGGAAGGCTTTCCAAGTACTCCTGGGCTCGGACCTCAAACAGACCTGGGGATAGGAGACAGCCGGTCAGTTGGAGTTCTCCTGTGTGCTGCTACACAACTCTCCTCGCCACGGGGTAAGGCGTGAGTGATCAGCTTCTCTAGACCCTGAGGTTAGAGGATCTGCGATACTGTCCCAGTTCTGCCAAAGCCATCTCTGGAAAGCCACAGGCTCGCTCGTTTTACTTAACAAACGCTTTTCAAGGGTCCGTGTTGTGCCAACGACAAGGATTCAATGATGAACTAGTCAGCAGAGAACTCACTGCCCTCCCCCTTCTTCGTACATTCTGTCCGGGGCCGGGACAAGTGGAGAAGTCCTCTGGGAATCCCATGGCCATGTGTGACCTGGACGGCTGGGTCAGCCATCTCCCAGGCTCCCAGGGCTAACTCTACCTGGTTTTTGAAGGATTTTCTATGGATAGGAAGCTCCTTCTGTGTTACTGTGACCTTTCATTAAATTGTGCTAGTACTGGGGCTTGAATTCAGGGCCTGAGTGCTGTCCCTTAGTCTTTTTGCTCAAGGCTGGTACTCTAACACTTGAGCCACAGCTCTCTACTTCTGTTTTGGTGGTTGTCTGGAGATAAGAATCTCATAGTTTCTTGCCTGGGCAAGCTTTGGACTTAGATCCTCAGATCTCAGCCTAAGTAGCCGGGATTCCAGGGGTGAGCCTGAAGTGTTGTGATGACTGAAACTGGGGATTTGCCACTTTGTATTATTTTTTTTTTTTTGGGTCTGGTTGTGGGGCCTGAACTCTGGGCCTGGGCGCTGTCCCTCAGCTCTTCAGTTCAAGGCTAGCGCTCTACCACTTGAGCCACAGCGCCACTTCCGGCTTTTTTTCTTTTTGTTTATGTGGTGCTGAGGACTCCAACCCAGCGCCTCATGCATGCAAGGCAAGCGCTCTACCATTGAGCCACCTTCCTAGTTTTGAGATAACTTTGCTTCACTTCAAATTTGCAATCTTCTGGGCCTCTGCTTTCAGTAAACACACTTAAATGTCCCCAGCATTTTTTTTTTTCCAGTCCTGGGGCTTGAACTCAGGGCCTGGGCACTGTCTCTGAGCTTCTTTTGCTCACAGCTAGCACTCTATCACTTGAGCCAAAGCACCACTTCTGGGTTTTTCTCTTTATGTGGTACTGAGGAATCGAACCTGGAGCTTCATGCATGCTAGGCAAGTGCTCGACCACTGAGCACATTCCCAGCCCAGCTCTTCTATTTAAACAACAACAACAACAACAAATTACCCTTTAGTCTGGGCACTGATGGCTCACATCTGTAATCCTAGCTATTTAGGAGGTTAAGGTCTGAGGATCACAGATTGAAGCCAGCCTAGGCAGGAAAGCTGGTGAGATTCTTATCTCCAACTAACCATCAGAAATGGACCTGTGGCTGGAAATGGTAGAGCACTAGTCTTGAGCATAATAGCTCAGGGTCAGTGACAACGCCGAGTTCAAGCTCTATAACCACTGCTACCACCAACGAAAAGAACTCTAGCTTTTGCTGGCAGTGGCTCATGCTTGTGATCCTAGCTATTCAGGAAGTTGAGATTTGAGGATCAGGGGTTGAAGCCAGCCTAGGCAGCAAAGTCTGAGACTCTTGATCTCTAATTAGCCACCAAAAGGCCAGAAGTGGAGCTGTGGCTCAAATGGTAGAGCACTAGCCTTGAGGAAAAAAACAAAAAAAAAGCTCAGAGGGGCTGGGGATGTAGCTTAGAGGGAGAGTGCTTGCCTGGCATGCATGAAGTCCTGGGTTTCATTCCTCAGTGCAGAAAAAGCTGGGAGTAGTACTGTGGTTCAAGTGGTAGAGGGCTAGCCTTGAGCTAAAGGAGCTCAGGGACAGTGTCCAGGCCCTGAGTTCAAGCCCCAGGACTGGCAAAAACAACAACAAAAACTCAGAGACAGCGCCCAGGCTTTGGTCCCAGAGGACCAGCATAACAAGCAAACAAACAAAAAACCCAACTCTGTAAGGAGGCACATGGATGGTTCCAGTCTCATCAATTTCCTTCTGTATATACCCGCAGAGACCCCATATTAAAACCACCCGCAGGGCGTGGCTGCCCTGTCGGTCCTGGAGGAGGGCTGCGGCAATACTGGACTTTGGGGACTTAACTAGTGTAATCAGAGCTCACTCAGGCCTGGGACCAGGTGTTCCCCAGCCTCTAAGGAGGGGCTCTGCAAGAATGCCTGCCGTACCTGCCCGGCTTGTGTGAGGGGTTTTAGATTCTGAGACAAGGGACAAAAAGAGACTGCAGTGATTTCCCCCCTGGTCTCCTCCTCATCCCGTCCTCCATCCCTAGAAGTGAGGTGGAAAGGAGGCGGGAAGTATGGCAGGGAAGGAGGAGGAGATGCAAAACCTCAAGCAGAGCAGGAGGCAGAGGCTGGTGCTGGTGAAGAGGCCAGCTGCCCAGGTGGGGCAGAGGAGCACCGATTCTCTCCGGCTCATCCATCAGCAGCTGCTGGAGAGAGAGCAGGAGGGGGGGGACAGAGAGGAGGAGCAGGAGGAGCAGGAGGGCAGCAGGGAGAGGTGGGAAAGCCATTCTTCAGGGTCATCCTATGGCTCCAGAGGATGCTGGCATAGGTGGCTCTCTGGCCCCAGCGTGGACGGCTCCTCACCCTTGGCATCTTGCCGGCGCAGCTCCCGCTCCTGGATGAAGCCACGGAAGGTCTGGGTCTCCATGAACACCTCCAGGAAGCGGCGCAGGCTCTTGGAGGAGACGGCTTTGCGGAAGGCGTCCCGCTGCAGGCTCCGCTCCTCCCGCTCGCCCGGCGTCAGGAACAAGGAGTAGTGGCCCACCATCTCCACAAAGAAGCGGACAAAGGCCTCGGACACCACCGCATTCAAGGGGCTGGACGCCGGGCCTGGGCAAGGACAGAGAGGCGGGGCGGGGGAACGGATGATTGGCTGGCGCTCAACAAAGCAGGGAATGACGGCAGCCACGGAAATTCCCTCGGTGGCCAACTGTGTCTTTCCCCATTTACTTATTTGGTGCAAGAACTGGGGCTTGAACTCAGAGCCTGGGCACTGTCCCTGAGCTTTTTGGTTTTGCTCAAGATTGGTGCTCTACCATTTGAGCCACAGCCTTACTTCCAGCTTTTTGGTGGTTAATTAGAGGTAATTCTCACAGATTTTCCTGTCCAAGGCTGGCTTTGAACCGTGATCCTCAGATCTCAGCCTCCTGAGAAGCTAGGATGACAGGCGTGAGCCACTGGTGCCAGGCTTCTTCTCCTACCTTTATATGTATAGTATAGGGCCAAGATGGGAGTGATGGGCAATTTTCCCCACAATTCCTTGTTGGAATGAAGTCCAGATGCAGAGGCTGATGCTCAGCCCCATGTTCTGGCGTTGCCCGGTGGGAATGGGCGGCGCCGCTGCAGCTGCCCCCAGCCTCTCGTGGCGCAAGTGCTGCCTTTACCGTAGGTGCAGCCCGGGGGCCCTCCGTCCAGGTCACAGGCCAGCTCGTTCCTCTGCTCCAGAATGTGTTCCAGGGCCACCTGAAGCTTCCGGGGCAGGATGGAATCTTCATCCTCCATCTGTAAAGCAGAAGCAGCAAGTGGGCCCCAGTGCAGGCGCCTTTGGGTAATGCCTGCATCCTGGCTAGCATCACACTCTGCTACACCACGGGGCAGGCTGATCCCATGGCACCTGTGATGCACAGGCTCATCTATGTGTATGTGTGCCTGTGTGTGTGTTGGTACTGGGGCTTGAACTCTGGGCTTGGGCACTGTCCCTGTGCTCTTCAGCTCAAAGCAAGCGCTCTACCACTTGAGCCACAGTGCCACTTCTGGTTTTCTAATGGTTTATTGGAGATAAGACTCTCATGGACTTTCCTGCCCAGGATGGCTTTGAACCCTGGTCCTCAGATCTCAGCCTCCTGAGTAGCTAGGATGACAGGCGTGAGCCACTGGCGCCCGGCTCACTTTACTTTCCTACTCATGCCTGGTGCTCCATGCCTCCAGTCCAGGATTTTGCTGGTGAATTGGAGATGGAATTTTGTAGACTTTCCCACATAGCTTCCAACTGTGACCCTCAGATCTCAGCCTCCCAAATAGCTAGGATTACAGGCGTGAGCCGCCAGTGTCCTGGGAAAGCTAGCTTTCTGGTCTGGCTTATGGGAAGGCCTACCTGGAGGGCCTTTAGAAAAGAAAGAATGAGCCCGGTATTCGTGGCTCATGCTGTGTAATCCTAGCTACTCAGGAGGCTGAGATCTGGGGATCATGGTTCAAAGCCAGCCCAGGAAGGAAATTCTGTGAGACTCTCATCTCCAGTTAACCACCAGGAAATGGGAAGTGGTGCTGTGGCAAAAATGGAAAAGGTCTAGCCTTGAGCTGAAGAGCACAAGGACAGCGCCCAGGCCCAGAGTTCAGGCTCCATGACCAACCAAAAAAAAAAAAAGAATGAATGAAAAAGGGTATTGTGATAGTCTCAGCTTCTCTGTAGTGGGGCAGGAAGGAAGAGCCGGGCACGCAGAGGCGTGCAGCGGTGCGCAGCGCAGGCGGAGCTCCCCATCCTCTCACTCACCTGTCTGAGGAAGCGATCGTTGATGAGGTCCACCACGAGCACCTGTCAGGCAGAAAGAGGGGCGAGTTCTACCACTAGGGCTGCTGGAGATGGGTCCTGCCTTCTTCCTTCTTGGTACCCCAGGTGGCCGGAGCAGTGTGTGTGTGGTGGGGGGATTTGTGGTTTCTGCATGTTGCAGTGTGGGAACAGGAGGGCGTCCACACTGACCCCAGCTTCTCCCTCCTCAGCGGGTGGAAACACAGGGACCAGGAGATGGCGCCCTCTCCCCAACTCCAGTGTAGAAGGCTGGCCATGGGGGAGGAAGCCCAGGAGCCTGGATGGCCACCCTAACCTCAGCTCGAAAAGCTTGGCCTCTGCTTGTTGCAGACCGGTGGAAGAGCCTGTTCTTGGCTGCAGGGGATTACAGGAGGCTGCACAAAGCCAGGCCTTCAGACAATTAAAGAAGCAGTATCCTGAGATAGACTGCAGATCAGTCCTTCCCTAGGACAGAGGGGTAGAAACTGTGTGTGTGTGTGTGTGTGTGAATGTGTGTGTGTGTGTGTGTGTGTGTGTGTGTGTACATAGGGTCTTTGAGCCACAGCATCACTTCCATTTTTCTGGTGGTTAATTGGAGATGAATCTCATGGCCTTTCCTGCCAGGGTTGGCTTTGAACTATGATCTTCAGATCTCAGCTTCCTGACTAGCTAGGATTACAGGTATATACCACCAGTGCCTGGCTAGATAGGGACTTTCTATTCAGACCAGGCTGACCAAAAATTTAGGATCATCCTGCCTCAATGATCTTGTAATGCTGAGTGCTGGTATTACAGGTATGTGCTAGCATGCCTGGCTTGATGGCTGTCCTTTGGGACTGATATACCAAAGGACCTATGATAAGGACACAGTCCTGGTCCACTGTCATTAGTCCCAGCACATTCTGGTTCTGGCTGGCTCTTCATGTGCTTTCTTCCCTCAGTGCAGGGGGGAGGGGAGGCAGGGCAGGTGGCACATTAGGGCTCTGACCTAGGTTGGCTTTCACAGGTCACCTGCAGATGCCAAAGGTCAGGGAGCCCCGATGGGGGCGGTTACAGACCAAGTTGCAGTTCCGCTGTCCCTGGACTCCTCCGGGCCCCAAGAGAGGGGGCTGGCCGGGTGGGGCTCACCTCTTCCAGCGGCAGTTCCCTGAGCAGCGGCAGCGAGCTGGACAGCAGCCCGATGATGAAGGGCGTGGGTGAGCACACGATGTCGATCATGGCTGGCGGGAGCACAGGAATGTAGGTGTGCTGCCAGCTGAAGGGGTAGATGAGAGCCACCATGGCATGGCAGCACTTGGACAGGGTGCTGCAGCAGGGGGAGAGAGAGAGAGAGAAGGCGCGGTTGGGTGGGGAGAGGCCTGGGCGTCCCTGGGCTCCCAGGCAGGCGGACAGACTCAGCGCAAAGCTGTACTGGCTACCGGAAGCAAGCACAGAGTTCACCTTCTTTTCTTTTTGGTGCCAGTTCTGGGGCTTGAACTCAGGGCCTGACCACTGTCTTTGAGTTTCTCTGTTCAAGACTAGCACTTTACCACTTGAGCCACAGCTGCACATCCAGCTTTTTTCTGGTTCACTGGAGATAAGAGTCTCGCAGACGTCCCTGCCGAGGACTCAGCCTCCTGAGTAGCTAGCACGACAGGCGGGAGCCGCCGCCTTTCACCTCAGAACACCCAGGCTCCCTCCTCTCTGCTGCCCACACCGGAAGGGTCCTAGTTGAGGCCTGGGGAGGTTCCAGGCCTGAGTTCAGCTGCTTCCACTATGAACCCAGGGGAAGAAGACGTGATTGGATCAGCGTTGGCGAGTGAAATTTCAGTAGATTACATTCACTCAGGGAACTGGAATGCAGTGCGCAAAAGCACAACTGGAACCAATTTTTTTTCCCCTGGTGCTGCTGGAGATCTACCCAGAGTCTCACGAACGCTGGGCAAATGTTCCGCCACGGAGCTAAGCCTCAGGTCCATCTTCAGTTCTGATGGTGACAAATGATGCCATCTCAACTGGTCATCTACTGGCTCTGTAGGTCCGTGCTGCTGCTGTCATGGGTGACTCGTTCTTACAAGGAGCATTTTTGTCTTTTTTGTTTAATGTTCAAATCTTCTGCTGCAGCTGGAGCCAAGTGTTCTCACACCTGGTTATGATTAACACCTCGTTAGGGCACAGGAGGGGGGGGGGGACAGCATGAGGACAAGCGGGCAGCGCTCATTCCTGCGGCCCTGACCCCCTGCAGCACCGTGAAAAGAGAAAGGTCAGGCTCTGCAAGAACTAATGGTAGCAGAGGAGAAAAGAGAGGATTATTTTAAGGGTATCTTACATGTTTCTCTCTGTCATGGCTGCAAGTGCTAATGGAATTTTCCTCCCTGACTTGAGAGGGCTGGAGAAGTGCTTGTAGGGTGGAAGGTGGGAACTGGTGGTGGGTTAGGAAAAAATAAAATAAAAATCAAAGCACAGCCAACAGTTCGGGGGAGGCTGACGATGAGTCTTGAGTGAGCGCCAGGCGGAGCCTCACTTAACACTGGGTATGGGAGGCAGTGGTTTTTTGGAGCTTGAACTCAGGGCCTGGGCAGCGTCCCTGAGCTTTTGTGCTCAAGGCCATTTGGAGTCACGTATCATTTCCAGCTTTTTGAAATAGAATAGTAGAAATAGAGTCTCATAGACTTTTCTGCCTGGGCTGGCTTTGAACTGTGATCTTCAGATCTCAGCCTCTTGAGTGGCTAGGATGACAGGCGGGAGCCGCCAGCGCCAAGCCCAGGCAGTATTTTTTTTTTTTGGGGGGGGGGGTCTGGTCGTGGGGCCTGAACTCTGGGTCTGGGCGCTGTCCCTCAGCTCTTCAGCTCAAGGCTAGCGCTCTACCACTTGAGCCAGAGAGCCACTTCCGGCTTTTTTCTGTTTGCTTATGTGGTGGTGGGGAATTGAACTCAGGGCCTCATGCATGCAAGGCAAGCGCTCTACCACTGAGCCACCTTCCCAGCCCCCCAGGCAGTATTTTTGAGGAAGTCCAGGGATAATAGCCCAAGTAGAAGGCTCACATTGTCACAAGGATGAAAGGAAGAAACACCACCTCCTACAGCTGTGACCAACTGGCCAAAAGTGGGAAAGGAAGGACCCTGGGAGGATGGCTGGGGGTGGGGGGTGGGGGGGGGTGTGGGTAGTGGTGGGTGGGGGCGGAGATCAATGATGAACACAGGTGAGAAGGGTGACTTCTGAGGACTGAAGCATCTTTCTAGAACATCAGAAGCACCAGTGCGTGCTAATAGCTGGAGAAGACACTTCAGTCTGGGTGTTCCCAACGCTGTGTGCCAGGCTTGGAGCACCTGTACCCTTCTGATCCATCTACAAACCAACAAGAATCTAGCACAGAAGCCAGGCACTGGTGGCTCATGCCTGTAATCATAGCTACTCAGGAGGCTGAGATCTGAGGATTGAGGTTCAAACTAGCACAGGCAGGAAAGTCCTTGAGACTCTAACTTCCAATCAACCACCATAAATAAAGCTGGAAGTAAAAGTGAGACTCAAGGGCTACAGTGCTAGTTTTGAACGAAAAAGCTAAGCAAAGCCAGGTGCCAGTGGCTCACATCTGTAATCCTAGCTACTCAGGAGGCTGAGATCTGAGGATCGTGGTTTGAAGCCAGCCCAGGCAGGAATGTCTGTGAGACTCTTATCTCCAATTAGCTACCAAAAAATAAGAAGTGGCACTGAGCCTCAAAGTGGTACATTAGCCTCGAATGGAAAAAAATGAGCAAGAGTTAGAGGCCCTGAGTGCAAGCCCCAGTACCAGCAGAAAAATACATAAATAGATAAACCAGTAATGGAAAGATCTGATCAGTTAATCCTGATGATCATGAAGGCAGCAGTCTATCATTTAACCTATGGTTTAAAGCACTATAAAAAGTTTCTTGAACATCCTAAACCTGGCGTTATCTAATTCTTTTGTACAAACTTGTACCTGTGCAGGCGGCTATTATTTAGCCTTTTCTACAGGTTTAGGCAAAAATATTTGGAAGTGAAATGAGCAAATTCAAAGAAAAACCCCAAAATAAAATGTTTATCATCAGCAACAAGAAGACAGGGCTCTAAGGAAATATTTATAGGGTTGTTAAGGCAACAGAATGAACCATCACAAGAACATTCTTTTTTCTTCTATCTGCCAAACTTTGGCTTGACAGAGCCTTTAGAAACACCCAATGTCCACTCTAAAGATGAAATGAAGCACAAATGTTATTTTAAATTTGATAGATTTTTGGCTCAACTTAAAACCCTTTTATAACTTATACAGTATTTGCCACAAGTCCTTTGCAATTTCCTCTTTTCTGTGGGCAGGCTCCTTAGCGATGAGGAGTGCAGAACTGCATTGGGGGTGGGGTGGGACAGTGCAGGGGGTGCTGAGGCCTACCCTGGGGTATCACGGGGCATGTCCAGTGCTCTTTCCAGTGGCCCCCAGAGCAAAATCAGGAGAACTTGTGTCTGCCTTCCAGGTACCGCTAGCCAGATGGGAACTCTGAATTTGCTGAGGACGGAGCTTGGTGGAGGAGGGCAGCAGGCATGGCTTAAGCTCATGATTTCCAGCCTAGTGCCAGTGGTTCATACCTATAATCTTGGCAACTAAAAAGACTAAAATGGAGATGGAAGCATGGCTCGGATGGTAGATCGTCAGGCCAATGAATGAAAGTGTTAGATATTGAGTTCAAGTCCTGGTCTGGGGGTAGAGGACGGGAGAGGGGGGGAAAAGATTGAGATCTGAGGATTGAGGTTTGAAGCCAGGCCAGGGCTGGCTCTGAGACTCTTTCTCTATCATTTCTTTTCCTTCCTTCCTTCCTTCCTTCCTTCCTTCCTTGTTGATCGTGGGCCTGAACTCTAGGCCTGGGCACTGTCCCTCAGCTCTTCAGGTCAAGGCTAGCACTCTACCACTTGAGCCACAGCACCACTTCCGGCTTTTTCTGCTTATGTGGTGCTGAAGAATCGAACACAGGGCCTCGTGGATGCAAGGGAAGCACTCTACCACTGAGCCACCTTCCCAGCCCTGAGACTCTTTATTTCTACTTAATCACCAAAAACCCGGGGATGGAACTGTGGCTCAAATGGAAGAGCACTAGCCTTGAGTGAAGAGCTAAGAGACAGTTCCCAGGTCCTGAGTGCAAACCCTAGAACTCTCTGACACACACACACACACACACACACACACACACACACACACACACACACACACACACACACACACACACACACACACACACACACACACACACACACACACACACACACACACACACACACACAGATTTTTTCTTCCTAGAAATTCTGGTCCTCAAGCCCTTGTTTGCCAAAGTCTGGATGAAAACCCTTTAGATCCTTATTGCTATTCTTCCATCAAGCAGAACAGAGTGACAGGGACACAGATTGCTGCCCCAGGCCCAAGAATCAGAATTTTATGCAGCCCAGTTCCAGGAACCCCAAAGCAATCAGGCCCACGGGATTGGAGAATTTCAGAGCTGAGAGAGATCTGGGGGTGACACAGTCACATCTCACTGGAGCCTCAGCTGCAAGGTCGCCACCACGGGCGGGAGGGCGCAGAGGAGAACAAGTCCAGCCTTCCTACACCAGCCTCACTGACTGTGAGCAGTAGGGAGTCTTTTTGGTTTGTCTGTGTGTTTTCACACACAAGTTGGTCTCACTATACATCCCAGGCTAATCTTGAACTCATGATCATCCCGACATGGCTTCCAGGGTGCTAGGGTTACAGGCAAATACTACCATGCCTATCTTACAAAGGGGCCTTCGTGGCTTAACAAAGAGCACATTTCTGTGGACAGGGCCCCACATTTTGCCTGTCACCGACCCCCAGACCACTGCACCAGTGCCTTTGTCACTGTGTCTTTGGGATTAAGACAGTTTTCTGACTGAATCTTTGTGGCTTTCGTAGCATCTATCTGACAGGAGCGTGGGGAGCAGGGGAGACTGCAGACCAGACTAAAATGGTTCCCTGCTCTAGATTTTCTCCCCTTCCTGTCTCAGAGTTCTCTGGGCCAGACGGCGTGTGCTCCCTCCCTCCTTCCTTTTTTGACTGCCAGTAATGGGGCTTGAGTGGAGTGCTTGTATTTGCTAGGCAGGCCTTCTCTACCACTTGAGCCTGGATCTTTATTTATCCCCCATTCCCGCCCACTTTCAGGTCTGCAAGGGATGACAGTAGCTACAAAGATAATGTATGTGTAACAGAGAAAGAGGGGCTGTCTGTGGGGAAAACAAGACAGCAAAGCCCCCGAAAGTGAGCAGCACCAGGGGCCTTGGGTCTGTCAACCCCTAGGACTCAAGAATAAGAAGACCCGGGGCCAGGACGGGGAGGGAGGGACTGGGCGCCCAGCTGAGGTCCAGACATTTGGGCAGCGTTTAATCACAGCCCTGAGATCTGCTCATTTTTCCTTTGTCCCTGGAGACAGCAGCTGCGAAGGAGAGGCTGGCCCATTGCCAGTGGTCCACCTGGAAATCTGTCCAGGGGAACAGTCACATACCTCCTACGGATTCCTCTGTGGACCATTTTCCACGGTTTTCCCATACTGCCCTAGGGGAAGACCTGCCCGTGACAGGGCCCCACCCCTTCTGTTTCTACCTTTTCTCTGTCTGTACTTTAGCGAGATAACTAAGGGCATTTTCTGCTCTTTCTCCTAAGGGGGCCATTCCCTAGTTAACCAGCTCTACTCCAGCCACACACCTTCACCCCTGAAACAAGTCTCATAGGTCCTGGCCCAGGCTTGGCAGATTCTTGGTTTATTCTTTTGGCCTTTCACTTTATTTAAAAAAATTTTTTTGACAGTACTAAGGTTTGAACTCAGGGTCTCATGCTTGCAAACATTCTACCACGTGAGCCAAACCCCAATCTTTTTGCTTTTTAGTTTTTTACTTCTTCTCCAGCAGGGTTTCTCACTTTTGTCCATACCTTGGACTGTGATCCTCCTACCTCTACCTCCTGAGCAGCTAGAATTACAGGTGTGTGTCACTACACATGCCTCCTTGTACTTTTCTTCTTCTTCTTTTTTTTTTTTGTGTCAGCCATGGGCTTGAACGTGGGGCTTAGGCGCTGCCCCTGCACTCTTCAGCTGAAGGAAAGCACTCTACCACTTGAGCCACAGTGCCATTTCCGGTTTTCTGGTGAGTAATTGGAGATAAGAGTCTCAGGGACTTTCCTGCCCGGGCTGGCTTTGAACCGTGATGCTCAGCTCTCAGCCTCCTGAGTAGCTAGGATGACAGGCGTGAGCCACCGGCGCCCGGCTCTCCTTGTACTTTTCTTCTCTATGCCTTTCTGAAATTATTTCCCCCCTCACAAAACCCAATCCTGAGAACCAAGAGCTTGGGGGCTAAGGAGGGGGCAGAGTGGGCCTTCCACAGAACCCAGACAGTTTCCAGAGACCTGGCGAAATTCAATCCTGGTCACTGAAGGGTTATTACTCATCCCCAGCTTCCAAAGCCCCAATCTTGAGAACTCTGTGTCTCAATTCCCCAGCGCCCAGCATGCTTGGAGTGCTGCCCAGCGCCCTGCACCAGCTGCAGGCTGAAGAGAGTCTGCTTCCTGAGTTGACCAAAGTACACAGGGAGCACAATACTGTGGCATTTAAAAGTCACTAGGGAACTCAGCCACAGGGAGGGGGCGGGGGTGGGGGGGGGGGGGGGAGCGCCATCAAGGGGACCAGATGGTTACAGGGAGCCATGGGCTGCGTGCCACTTCTCCAGGCACCCCCCACCCCCACCCTGGCCCCACGCCATTGAATCCCACCTGGATCCATGCCATGCCTTCCATCCCTCGGCCCCTTCTCCCTCCCTCCTGTGTTCTACAGCTCAGAGTCCTATTTCCTCTCCAAACCCAGATGGTTCTCCTTCATTATGTGTCTGGCGTGTTTTCTTCCCACACGAGCTTCTCAGGTGGTCTCTGCTTCAGCCTGGTGGTGGCTCCCATGCCTTAGCCCTTCTTGAGCCCTGAGTTCTAAGAAGGAGACTTGCCTGCCTGGGGCTGGCTTTGAAGTGTGATTCTCAGATCTCAGCCTCCTGAGTTAGCGACGATTACAGGCGAGAGCCACTGGTGCCTGGCTGACTCAATTGTTTGAAATGCTAGAAGTTGGGAATAAACCCAAATCCCGAATCCCCATCTGCGGATGCTGTCGTCTTCTCCCGCCTCGTCCTGCTTCCTGTACCAGGGTCTAAACCTTGTGCTTGCTTGGTTTGCTGGCTCTCAGTTGGTGCCTCTGGCCTGTTCCCCCCACCCCTGTGTATTTGGGGGACAGAGCCTGTTGGATCTCTGTTTAATCCTCTACATCTCAGCCTCCTAAGAAGCTAGGATGACAAGTGTGAGCCACCAGGGCCTGGTGCATTTTCATAAATGTGACCATGGCACGTGCTGGCATCTTACTGGGCAGCGAGTGTGTGAGGTGTGAGATTCAGTTTAACAACATGGGGAGAGGGATGCCTTGGTGAAGTTTGCCCTGTGGGGCCCGTGGCCTTTCCCTGAGCTGTCCTGTCCCCTCTGCATGCCTCCCCTTTCTCTCCATGCTAGCTCAGGGAGCTCCAGCCCAGATTCTGGGGGTAATGCACTCCCCTTGCTGCCCACCCCACCCTGCCTCCTTGCCCCTGCACAGGTGGCTCCATTTACCTGCAACGTGCAACATACTTTTTTTTTTTGTCGGACATGGGGCTTGAACTCTGGGCTTGGGCGCTGTCCCTGCGCTCTTCAGCTCAAGGCGAGCGCTCTACCGCTTGAGCCACAGCGCCACTTCCGGTTTTCTAGTGGTTTATTGGAGATAAGAATCTCATGGACTTTCCTGCCCGGGCTGGCTTTGAAGCATGATCCTCAGATCTCAGCCTCCTGAATAGCTAAGATTACAGGCGTGAGCCACCAGTGAGTGCCCTCTTTACTTAGTCTCACGCTTAGTGACAGTCAGAAATCACTTTCCCTGGGGACGAGTACCCTCTGTCAATCTCTTTTTTTTGTGTGTGTGTTTGTTTTTTGCTGGTCATGGGCCTGAACTCTGGGCCTGGGCGCTGTGCCTCAGCTCTTCAGCTCAAGGCTCGCGCTCTACCACTTGAGCCACAATGCCACTTCCAGCTTTTTCTGCTAATGTGGTGCTGAGGAATGGAACCCAGGGCCTCATGCATGCAAGGCAAGCGCTCTACCACTGAGCCACCTTCCCAGCCCCCCTCCATCCATCTCACACGGCACTAGGTAGTCCTTTTACTTCCCAGGCACCCTGCTTGGCTGAGAACTTTGGGGGACGGCTGTGTATTTATGTCTCCTGAATATAACAGAGTGCCTCATGCACAGCAGAACCCATGAGGACCTAGCTAAGTACCTGAGAGGTGGTTGGTGCCTGGAAGTTCAGGCCTACCTCACAGTCCACGATGGGCGGGCCTTACACCTGCCTCAGCTGTCACTCACGCCTGCCCTAGGGAGTCACCTGCTGTACCCAGGACCACTCACATGCTTACGCAGCAGTAGCCAAGTACCTGAGCTTGTCGGCGATGAAGATGACCCTCCTTTCCAGCAGCAGGGAGGCAAATACACAGACCAAGTGGCGGATGCTGAGGGAGGAGAAGAGAGATTCAAAGTCCACGTGTTCGAGCCGGGAGTCCAGTGGGCGGCACAGCTCAATCACCTGTCAGGGAACAGGGGTAGCCATGAGGGGAAGATCACCCCCTTGGCAGGCCTGTCCCACGTGGCACAGTTCCTGGGGCTCTGAGGTCCTCAGCAGGGGACATGGGACCCCACTGGAGGGGAGGGGAAGAGGTAGGAAAGAAGACAGAGGGAGCAGGAGTGGGGAGCAGAAGGCTGGAGGCTGGGAAGTGGGTGTATTTGGAAGGAAGCAAATGCCTGATGCTTGATGGAAGACATCTGGCTAGCAGGAAGGGAAGAGGCCGGCTGACCCAACACAGGTGGCTGGTGCCTGCACCCCTGCAGGGACAGTTCTAAAATGAAAATAACTATCTCCTAGGGGGGGTCTACCTGCCAGAACTCCTGAGCAGATGCAAGCAGCCCTTCCAAGGCTCTTCTTCTAGAAGTCCAGCCTCCCCCCTCATTCAAATCTCTTCCCCTCTCTCTCTCTCCTTCCTTCCTTCCCTCCCTCCTGCCCTTTCTTTCTGTGTGTGCTGGTCTTGAGGCCTGAACTCAGGACCTATATGGTGTCCCTGAACTTTTTTGTGCTCAAGGCTAGTGCTTTACCACTTGAGCCACTGCTCTACTTCTGACTTTTGGGTAATGGGAGATGAGTCACAAATTTTCCTTCCTGGGCTCAGCCTCCTAAGTAGCTAAGATTGCAAGTGTGAGCCACTGGTGCCCAGCTCTGAAATATATATTTTCTGCAGTATCTTTTCAGCTTTTATGTACAGTGTGCACACATCTTCTTCTTCTTTTTTTTTGTTCATCATGGGGCTTGAACTCTAGGCCTGGGCACTGTCCCTGAGCTCTTCAGCTCAAGGCTAGCACTCTACCACTTGAGCCAGAGCACCACTTCTGGTTTTCTGGTGGTTAATTGCAGATAAGAGTCTCATGACTTTCCTGCCTGGGCTGGCTTTGAACCATGATCCTCAGATCTTATCCTCCTGAGTAGCTAGGATTACAGGCTTGAGCCACTGGTTCCTGGCTCCATGAGACGCATCTCTACTTGGCCACCCAAAAGCCAGACATCAAGTGGTTGAGTGAAAAAGATAAGGGACAGTGCCTGGGCCTTAACTTCAAGTTCTGGACTCACCCAAGGAGCAGGGTGAATTTGATGGGCCTTGAGAATCATGCTATCCCTGCTGGGACTTGACTCCCTGGGGAAGGAGTCGGGCGGCTTACCTCAGTCCCTGAGCCTGGTAAGAAGTTCTTGACGAGGATGGTTTTGCCCAGGGCTGGGAAAGGCGCTTCCATAACACTCCTCATGAGGGGCTGCACCAGGGCCGGGGAGATGCCGCGTCTCTTTTCCACCTCGTCCAAGATCTGCAAAGGTGACACCAGGAGCTCGGCTGAGCCACCCTCCGTCAGCCAAGGGCAAGCAGTACGCCACCTGCCTTCTGGGCCATTCCTGGAGGCATGGAATTCATGGAGGCAGAGGTGGGATGGAGGCTGTGAGCGCGCATGTCTAGTGGGTGGAGGCCTCCTGTGTGGGGATAAACCTTCTGCACATGCGTACTGTGATGCTGTCCGGCGGTGAACGTGCTGCATGCCTCTAAACTAGTTAAAATGCTCAATTTTGCAGCATCGATATTTTATACCAGAGGAAGAAAAAGAAAATAATATGACAAAAGGTAAAAAGAAGCGCGGATGCTAGCGGCTTACATCTGTAATTCTAGCTACACAGGAGGCTGAAATAAGAAGAGCGGCAGAAAGTTTGGGAAGTAAAGGCTCACGTGGGGGAGTGCTGGCCTGGAGTAAAAACGCTGAGCAAGAGTGCAAGAGGCCTGCAGGGCAAGCCCCAGTCCTGGCACAAAAAGAAGGAAAAGAAAAGGCAAAAAGAATTGCAGGGGAAATTAGGAGAAAAATGAAGCCTGCCTAGGGAAGCAGGGAGGCAGATACCAGATGGAGAGAATGACGCAGGGTGATGGCGGGCCAGCTGTGGTTCTAGGCCTGACTTTCACACTTGGGTTTGCCCTCGTGGCCTCTGTCATGGAGGAAACACGCATGCGCCAGCTCACTGCGAATGAGGAATGCACAGGCTGGACCCTGGCCTGAGCCTTAAGCAGAGACTGCTAGCGTGTCCCCCCCCCCCCCCCATTTTGGTTTGATTGCCTCCATCTTAGGTCCTCTGCTCTTTCCCCGAAATTGGGTGACCAAGTCAGGTCTGGCCATAATTGTTAGCCTCCACCCCATTCCTGAAACTACAGGTATCTCTAGCCTCCGGCCGCATCACTGGAATGTTGCTCGCTCAGGTCTGTCCAGCTGTGGAGTATCTCCTGCTTTTAGCAAAAATTCCTGCCCTCAGCCTCCCTGGCACTATATAACTAAATCTCCTTCTCAAGGACAGGCTGCCGCTCCCCATCCCAAGACAGCGAGCCTGTCAGCCCCTTGTGGATATTAAAAACTCCTTTCTCTGTACGGGGCTGTGTGTCCCCATGGTTCTCTGGGATGGTGCTTTCAGAGACCAGACAGTTGAGGTCAGCCAAGCCGGGACTACTTTAAACACCTGTGAGCCCAGACATCTGAGCCACACCTGGCCCACCTGCACACCTGTGGGGGCTGCTTTGGGTTGTTACATAGCATTGTAGGAGCAAGAATAATGGCTACTCCCGAGAACTGCTCTTCTGTTTCATGACTCCTTTCTGTTCTAAAATATGATTTGCCATTGGGCCATCCTCCTCCCATAGGAGGAATACAGGGATCAGGGGGCTGGAGCTCTGGTTCTGAACAACTGTGGTGGAGGGGTCTCTGTTAGACACATTAAGCTCCTCAAATACAGCCTCGATCAGAAAGCTACCCGGGACATATGGGGTCAGCCCCAGCTAAGAACGTCAGCGTGCGTGCGTGCGTGCGTGCATGCGTGCGTGCGTGTGTGTGTGTGTGTGTGTGTGTGTGTGACATGACACGCTGGGGCACTGCCTCCTGGAGGGCTGCGTTCCTCCAGGCATTCTCCCACCAAACCTGCAGCCCATAGCCAAGTCCACCTTCAACCAAGCCCATGCTAAACACTGGCCTGAGCAGTGACATGTACTTTTGCAGACCTTGGAACCAACCAACCAATGCTATGATTACCACTGAAGTGAGGAGGGTGGACAGGAGGTAGATTTTTTTTTTCTGGAGTTCTTATGAAGTTCTGAGTTATATTTATCCACAGTAGATGTGGGGAATCTACTCAGGGCCCTAGGGCTGTTCCTGAGCTTTTTTCACTCAAGGCTGGTGCTCTACCACTCTAGATCCACTTCTGGTTTTTTTTTTCTGGTTAACTGGAGCTGTGAGTCTCACGGACTTTGAACTGTGATCCTCAGATCTCAGACTCCTGAGTAGCTAGGATTATAGGCATGAGCCACTGATCCCCATTTGGGATTTTTTTTTTTTGGTTGGTTGTGGGGCCTGAACTTTGGGCCTGGGCGCTGTCCCTTAGCTCTTCAGCTCAAGGCTAGCACTTTACCACTTAAGCCACAGCTCCACTTCCGGCCTTTTCTGCTTATGTGGTGCTGATGAATCAAACCCAGGGCCTCATGCATGCAAGGCAAGCATTCTACAACTGAGCCACCTTCCAGCCCCTTGGGAATTTATTTATTTATTTACTTATATTTTTTTTTGGTCAGTCATGGGGCTTGAACCTTGGGCTTGGGCGCTGTCCCTGCGCTCTTCAGCTCAGGGCAAGCGCTCTACCACTTGAGCCACAGCACTGCCTCCGGTTTTCTAGTGGTTTATTGGAGATAAGAGACTCAGGGACTTTCCTGGCCAGGCTGGCTTTGAACCGAGATCCTCAGATCTCAGCCTCCTGAGTAGCTAGGATTACAGGCGTGAGCCACCAGCTCCTGGCTGGGAATTTTTTAAAAATGGTACTAGGACTTGAACTCAGGGCCTGAGCTCTGTTCTTTAGCTTTTTTGCTCAAGGCTGGTATTCTTATCACTTGAGTCACAGCTCCAATCCAGTTTTTTTTTTTTTTTTTGTTTAATTAGAGAAGAATCTCATGGACTTGTCTACCTTTTTTTTCGTGGGGCTTGAACTCTGGGCCTGGGCGCTGTCCCTGAGCTCTTCAGCTCAAGGCCAGTGCTCTGCCACTTGAGCCATAGCGCTATTTCCGGCTTTTTCTGCTTATGTAGTGCTGAGGAATCAAACCCAGGGCCTCATGCATGCAAAGCAAAGCACTCTACCACTGAGCCACCTTCCCAACCCCTTGTCCACTTTCTTTCCCCCATCCCTTTTTCCGGGCCCAAATTCTCACCTTTGAAAAGAGGCTGAAGCAGCCCAGCCGGCTCACGATGCAGTAAACTTCAGGAAGGCGTTTCCCTCTGCCCCCAGGCTTTTGGAAGAGAAACACAAATGCAATGTGAATGCTAACAGCCTCAGTGAAGGAAAGAGCTGGCAAGCTTTTCGTTTCTCTTTTCCTTTCTTTTCAGGCAGGATTGCAATACGTAGCCCAGGATGGCCTTGAATTCTCAATCTTCCTGCCTTGGCCTCCTGAGTGCTGGGATTACAACCATGTACCACCATGCTTAGCTCCAAATGCTTTTGAGTCTATAACAGATATTTCCATACACCATAGCTTTTTAAAACCCTATATGGTAAATACTTAGAAATACTCCAGTTTTTGGTTTTTTTTTTTGGGTCTGGTCGTGGGGCCTGAACTCTGGGCCTGGGCACTGTCTCTCAGCTCTTCAGCTCAATGCTAGCGCTCTACCACTTGAACCATAGCACCATTTCCGGCTTTTTTCTTTTTTCTTATGTGGTGCTGAGGAATCGAACCCAGGACCTCAGGCATGCAAGGCAAGCACTCTACCACTGAGCCATCTTCCCAGCCCCTCCAGTTTTATAGTTGGAAAGCACATCTTCTCCTGAAGGCCCAAATTAAGGCAATTATATACATAGCTAATCAGCCATTAGCTGATTAGTCCATGTTACTGTAGGTCATTCTAAGGAGCTATTCTGAGATCAAATGCTTATTACAATGATGATTCCAAATGAGAAATCATGCAGAAGGTCTTTTTGGAAACTTATTTTTTAACTCGTCTTCAAATGAAAATCCAAAATCATTCTCAATACTTTAAAGTTACTTGAAAATCCTAACTTAAAAATATCCTGGCCAGGCACTGGTGGCTCACACCTGTAATCCTAGCTACTCTGGAGGTTGAGATCTGAAAATTGCAGTTCAAAGCCAGCCTGGGCAGAAAAGTCCCTGTGAGACTCTTATCTCCAATTAACTATCAGAAAACTGGATGTGGTGCTGTGGTTCAAGTGGTAGAGTGCTAGCCTTGAGCTGAAGAGCTAAGGGACAGTGCCCAGGGCCAGAGTTCAAGCCCCATGACAGACCAAAAAAAAAAAAAGTATCTTGGTTCAAAGCCAGCCTGAGCAGAAAAGTCTTCATCTATATCTTCAATTAACCAGTAAAATGGTAAAATGAAGTATGACTCAAGTGGTAGAGTTGTCAGTTGAATAAAAAAAGCTGAACGAGAACTCTGAGTTCAAGCCACAGTACTGACACACACATTAAAAAAAATAGTATTGACGGGGCTGGGAAGGTGGCTCAGTGGTAGAGCGCTTGCCTTGCATGCTTGAGGCCCTGGGTTCGATTCCCCAGCACCACATAAGCAAAAAGAAAAAAGCCGGAAGTGGCGCTGTGGCTCAGGTGGTAGAGCACTAGCCTTGAGCTGAAGAGCTGAAGGACAGCGCCCAGGCCCAGAGTTCAGGCCCACTACCGGACCCAAAAACAAAAACAAAAATAAATAAATAAATAAATAAATAAAATAGTATTGAAAAAGCCAGGCACCAGTGGCTCATGTCTGTAATCCTAGCTACTCAGGAGGCTGAGATCTGAGGATCTCCGTTCAAAGCCAGCCTGATCAGGAAAGTCCGTGAGACTCTTATCTCCAATAAATCATTAGAAAACCAGAAGTGGCGCTGTAGCTCAAGTGGTAGAGTGCTCGCCTTGAGCTGAAGAGCTCAGGGACAGTGCCCAAGCCCAGAGTTCAAGCCCCACGACCGACCAAAAAAAAAAAAATATAGTACTGATTCCTCATGTTTTCTAGCTTATTTTCATAATTCAAACTCTCAGTAGAAAAAGATTTGTTATCTCTAAAGATTTGCCAGTGATTGTGGCTAAAAAAATGTAGGTTCCGGGCTGGGAAGGTGGATCAGTGGTAGAGTGCTTGCCATGCATGCATGAGGCCCTGGGTTCGATTCTTCAGCACCACATAAGCAAAAAGAAAAAAGTCGGAAGTGGTGCTGTGGCTCAAGTGGTAGAGCGCTAGCCTTGAGCCAAAGAGCTGAGGGACAGCGCCCAGGCCCAGAGTTCAGGCCACACGACTGGATCCCCCCCCCCAAAAAAAAAAAATGTAGGTTCTAGTTGGGTACTAGTGGCTCATGTCTGTAATTCTAGCAACTCAGGAGGCTGAGATCTGAGGATTGTGGTTTGAAGCCAGCCCAGGCAGGAAAGTACATGAGACCGCCCAGATCTCAATTTCATTTGACACAGTAAGGGACATCTAAGGAGAAGGTGGCCAGTTGGCAGGAAAATTTAAGATGTGAGTCGCAGTTGGTGACTAAGTAACACGGAATCTTTGAGAGCCAGATGACCGTTGAGCTGATAGTAGATGGGTAATCTGATCAGATAAGGTCAGAACAGAACCTAACAACCTTGTGAACACCAACACAGAGAGGACAATCCTTCCCTCCTTATAGAACAAAAGCCACTGTGCCATCAATTCTAGGGCCTCAAAACTGCTTTTCTTCCCATCAGCTGCCATTTTGGTGATTAACTGGAGGTAAGCCTCATGGAATTTCCTGCCTGGGCTGGCTTTGAACCATGGTCTCAGATGTCAGCCTCCTGAGTAGCTAGGATTATAGGGATGAGCCATCAGTGACTAGCTTTGTTTTTCCTTTTTTTGAAGTAATAAGCTTCACTATATTGTCCATGCTGGCCTCAAACTGCTGATCTGCTGGCTTCAGCCTCCGAAGTAACTAAGATTATAGAGATATATTAATTGCTATGCCTGACTTTCTCTACATATATACTGATTATACAGCTACACACACAGAAATGTGTATGCATATGTGTGTGTGTGTGTGTGTGTAGATATACATATATATCTACACACACACACACACACATATACAGAGAGAACCTGTGTGTGCGCGTGCGTGCCCATGTGTATGCTGGTCCTGAGGTTTGGGCACTGTCCCTGAGCTTTTTATTCTCAAGGGTAGTGCTCTATCACTTGAGCCACAGTTACATGTCCAGTTTTTTGGTGGTTAATTGCTGGTCTGTCAGCTTCTGGAGTAGCTAGGATTATAGACATAAGCCACTAGCACCTGACATTTTTGCCTTTTTTTTTTTTTTTTTTTGGTGCTGGGGCTTGAACTCTGGGCCTGGGCTCTGTCCTTAAGTTCTTTAGCTCAAGGCTAGTGCTCTAGCATTTTGAGCTACAGAGCTACTTCTGGTTTTCTGGTAGTTAATTGGAGATAAGAGTCTCACAGACACTTCCCTGTCTAGGCTGGCTTTGAAAGGTGATCCTCAGATCTCAGCCACCCAAGCAGCTAGGATTACAGATGTGAAGATGTGAATCACCAGTGCCCTGCTCCTGTGCATTTTTTTTTTTTTTGGGTGGGTTGTAGGGCCTGAACTCTGGCCTGGGTGCTGTCCCTCAGTGTCACTTCGTCTTTTTCTGCTTATATGGTGCTGAGGAATTGAATCCAGAACCTCATGCACGCAAGGCAAGCACTCTACCACTGAGCCACCTTCCCAGCCCTTCTGTGCATTTTTTTTTTTTTTTTGGTTGTGGGGCTTGAACTGTGGGCTTCGGCGCTGTCCCTGTGCTTTTCAGCTCAAGGTGAGCGCTCTACGCCTGAGCCACAGCGCCACTTCTGGTTTTCTAGTGGTTTATTGGAGATAAGAATCTCATAGACTTTCCTGCCCAGGCTGGCTTTCAACCGCGATCCTCAGATCTCAGCCTCCTGAGTAGCTATTATTATAGGCATGAGCCATAGGCGCCCAGCCCTCTGGTGCATTTTTAACTATATTAGCCAACCTGCTACACTGGCTATTTTGTTTTTGTGCCACATGGTCTCAAGGGATTAGGAAGCTAGATTTTGTTCTTTATGAGCTCTGACTGATGGAGAAGCAGACAGTACTAACCAGCAGTCTTCGGCAATATCCAAATCTTCGGCTCCCATCTTCTCCAGTTAAGACAAATGAGAATGTTTCACTGTGGTTGGAAAAACACAAAGTCATTACAAAGCTAAACAAATCCAACGGCCCATCTCTACTGTCAATGTAAGACTGCTGGGGGAATTCCACAGGACCTGGTGTTCCTAAAAGAGCATATGTAGCCTGCTGAGGTCAGTCAAAGGTTGAATTCAACGTGGGGTAATAGGAATGCAAACTGAGCCCAGTATTTCAAGATCATGGTGAGGATGGATGATGGGCAACATTTCCCTAACTTTTCCCAGACTAAGAACTGCCTTAGTGAAGCTTATGAAGCACACACTCTCAGACCGAGCAGCACGCTTCATAAATCTGCCTAACCAGGAAGAAGTTGTTTTTTGTTTGTTCATTTGTTTTTTTTTGTGGTCGTGGGGCTTGAACTCTGGGCCTGGGTGCTGTCCCTCTTCAACTCAAGGCTAGCGTTCTACCCTTGAGCCATAGTGCCACTTCCAGTTTTCTGGTGGTTAATTGGAGATAAGAGTCTCCTGGATGGTTGTGATGGTGGCTCAGTGGTAAAGTGCTTGTCTTGCATGCATGAGCCCTGGGTTCGATACCTCAGCACCACATAAGCAGAAAAAGCCGAAAACCCCTAGGCTGGGGCCCATCATGACTGACTGGTTAATGCAAGGGCTGTCTTGTGGAGTCTGCCGCTATGATTCCCGCCCTCTCCCTTGTCTTTTTTTCCAGTCCTGGGGCTTGAACTCAGAGCCTAGCTACTATCCCTGAACAACTTTTGCTCAAGACTAGCATTCTACCACTTGAGCTACAGTGCTACTTCTGTTTTTTGGTTTTGTTTTGTTTTCCTGTTTATGTGGTCCTAAGGAATTGAACCCAGGACTTCATACATGCTAGGCAAGCACTCTACCAGTAAGCCACATTCTCAGCCCATGACCATCCCTTTGTCTGTGGGTGTGGGAAGGGGAGATGCCAGCCCATACCTGGTAAACTGCTGGACAGGACTCCAGTCCTTAGCGTCTGGGAAACAGAACTGAGGAATAGCCTTCAGCTGGTCCTCAGCCTCTCTCACGAACTTGAAAGACCTTTCCAACTGGAGGGAAAAAGGTGAGAGAAGGTTAGAGAACAAACCCCGGCATGAGACAGTGAGGCAGAGTTTGGCAAAGATTATGTTTCCCTCTTTCCACAGCTGTGACTTTCTCTGCAGCCTCCTTCCTTGGGAGGATTTGGGGTTTGGTCTGTGGAGCCTTTCCTCCCAGGGCAGATGTAACTTAACAGTCAGGACCAAAAAATCCCAACCCAACCCAACCACCACCACCACCACTAAACCCAACACTATATATTTCAGGGCAATATTCTCTATGCTTAGTGATCTGAAATATAACTCTTCCATTCTGTCAGGAAAAGTTATCAGGGAGGCTTTTGGATCTAGAGGACTGGGGTTCCCAGCTGGTCTTCCCATCTCTGGGCCCAGAGAAACTCATCGTGAATACAGACAGGAAAATCATGTTTCACTAGAATCCCACTAATATGGAAGTCATTGAGTGTGTGATATGAAGGGACCTAGACTTTATGCAGACTCTTATTCCACAGAAAAGGAAATATGTCTTGCTGTGTGTTATTTGTCCTGATCACACAGCTAGTGTTAGATGTGGAAGGAAAATCACTGAAATCTCTGATGTCTTTCTTTTTCTTCCTTTTCCCTCCTTTGTCCTTCCCTCCCTCCTTCCTTCACTTTCCTCCCTCCTCCTTCCTTCCTTCTCTCTTTTCCTTCTTTCCTGACCACGACTTGAACTCAGGGCCTCTAGATCTCACTTGGCTTTTCCATTCACAATTGGTGTTCTACTGCTTGAGGCATACTTCCACTTCTGGCTTCTTGAGGATTTGTCTGTCTGGGCTGGCTTTGAACTGTGGTTCTCAGATCTCAGCTTCCTGGATGAGATTGATCATACTAAGAGCCTGCATGAACTAAAGTCCAGTTTCGAGATGATTTATATAGAGTCAAGGATTTGCTTATTTTGTGTATGAAGAGGAATATGAGGAGAGCATCCAGAGGGGCAGAACAGACTGATCTGATGGTTTTCAATCTTAAAAAACTGCCTCTAAACCCAGGTGTCGGTGACTCACACCTATCATCCTAGCTACTCAAGAGACTGAGAACTGAGGATTGTGGCTCAGAGGCAGTTTGGGCAGAAAAATCCCCATGAGGCTCTAATCTTCCATTAACCACCCAAAAACTGGAAATGGAGCTGTGGCTCAAAGCCTTAAGCAAAAGAGCTCTGGGAGAGCACCCAGGCCTAGAGTTCAAGTCCAAGACCAAAAAACCAAAACCAAAACCACAACAACAAAAAAGAAACTGCCTTTAGTCAGGTGCTGGTGGCTCACACCTATAATCTTAGCTATTTAGGAGACTGAGATTTGAGGATCAAGATTTGAAGCCAGCCTTGACAGAAAAGATTGAGATATCTCCAATTAACCAGCAAAATGCCAGAAGTAGAGGTGTCTCAAGTGGTACAGCGCCAGCCAGCCCTGAATGGAAAAGCCAAATGAGTTCAAACCCTAGTACTAGGACACAAAAACAACCAACACAAGGAAAAGCTGCCTCTTGTGTATGATCCTTCCCCCGCCCCCCCCCCCCCCCCGGCAGCCGGCAGGGGTCTCCCTTACCTTTAGGGGGAACTGCTGGGTGAGCTCAGGCACATAGGCGGCCCCCGCCTGCTTCCTGTGCAGCGACACCACCACGAAGTACTCGAACAGCTCCCTCTCCTGGTACTCCAGGAGCTCTCTGGCGGGAGGTGGGTACCGAGGGGCCTGCTTCAGGCGGGACTTCACGTTCACCAGGCGCTGGCTGTGAGCTGGGGAAGACACAGAGACACACCAGGGCCTGACGCGGTTCTGCTGCTGCTGTGGAGCTGCGCAGCGCCATCCAGGTTGCGTAATCCCCACTCCACGGCTTGTCTCTCCTCTCCAGCGTATCTCCACAGCTCACAAATTAGTAGAAGATTCTTGGCTTGGGACCATGGCCAAACTCCTGGGAGGAGCACCCCCTCAGGCTTGCGTGGGGGACCTGGGGCGGCAGGAGCCACAGATTTGTGGTCTGGCCTCCAGGCCAAAGGCCGATCAAGGCCTCACCTCCACTGGTCTTTGGGGGTGGGCACCTGGGCTCCTCCCCTCACTCATTCAAGCTGTCTTTCAGTCTGTGAGGCGACAAAATCCAGAGCACACAGCTTTTGGGATGGAACTTTGTAAACATCCATGTGACTCAACTGGCAGAGCCCTGGCTAATGGAGAGCTCGGGTTTGCCTCCCTCCCATCCTTCTACAGTGGCGGTAGGCTTGTTTGGTGCTAGGGGTGGCCCAGGGAGCAACGGGGCAGGGTCACTGAGCAGGCAATTCCGAGGTCTGAGAAATCGCATCAAACTCACAAGTTTAGATTGGAATTGCTGAAGGTTAATTGGCCCCAAGAGGGGCCAATGATTTCAACAAGTTCATCTGATGGGTGAGCAGCCAGAGGTCCTGAGGTCTGAAGAGATTGCCTTTAAGAGGTGTGGGAACAGGGTGGCTACAGCAATTGGTCAGTTACACTGTGTGTGTGTGTGTGTGTGTGTGTGTGTGTGTGTGTGTGTGTGTGTGTGTGTGTGTGTGTGTGTGTGTGTGTGTGTGTGTGTGTGTGTGTGTGTGTGTGTGTGTGTGTGTGTGTGTGTGTGTCCTAGTACTGGGGCTTGAACTCAGGGGCTGCTACTGTCTCTTAGCTTTTCTAGTTACACTGTGTGTGTGTGTGTGTGTCCTAGTACTGGGGCTTGAACTCAGGGCCTGCTACTGTCCCTTTTCTTTTGCTTAAGGCTAGTGCTCTACCCCACTTGAATAGCAGCTCCATTTTTTAGGTTTTAATTGGAGGTAAGAGTCTCACAGATTTATCTGCCCAGACTGCTTTGGAACGGAGATTACGGGTATGAGCCACTGGTGCTGGCTCTGCTCACAGCCACCTTGGATCTCTGCAGCTTTGTGAGGCTGGGCAACAGCGCCTTGTCATCCTGCCTACATCCCGCTGGGCCCCCGTGTCTTCTCAGACACTCGTGCTTTGCCAAGCAAACCTGGACAGCACAAGTCTGTCCCGCAAGCTAGGGAGGAGGGGGCATCTATCTGTGTGACCTCTGATCCCCGCATGCACCTTGATGCCAACTGCCCTCTCACCTTTCAGCTTCTCCTCTGTGTCGCTGTCAGACTCACTGTTCTCGTCTGTCACTAAACCAAAAGAACAAAGAGGCAAATGTGAGTTGCTGAAGTGCAAGAAACGGATCCAGAATTCCTAGATCAGAGGGGGTATCTTGTCATCTGTTTAAATGTAATGGACACACTGTTCAACTCAATGGATTCTAGGTCATATGGCTCTTTTTTTTTTGGTTGGTTGTGGGGCTTGAACTCTGGGCCTGAGCGCTGTCCCTCAGTTCTTTTTTTTTTTTTTTTGGGTCTGGTCGTGGGGCCTGAACTCTGGGTCTGGGCGCTGTCCCTCAGCTCTTCAGCTCAAGGCTAGCGCTCTACCACTTGAGCCATAGCACCATTTCCAGCTTCTTTATTTTCTGCTTATGTGGTGCTGAGGAATTGAACCCAGGGCCTCATGCATGCAAGGCAAGCGCTCTACCACTGAGCCACCTCCCCAGCCATGTCCCTCAGCTCTTCAGCTCAAGGCTAGTGCTCTACTGCTTGAGCTACAGCGCCACTTCCAGTTTTCTAGTGGTTTATTGGAGATAAAGAGTGTCAGAGACTTTCCTGCCCCTCGTGAGCCACCAGCGCCGGCCAGATGGCTCCTTTATCAAATATTACAGGAAGACATCTGCGCTTTGTGAGTCCAAGTCAGAAAAGTTGGGGCCATGGGCAGGCTGGGGCAGTAGGAGCCAGAGAGCATGCGCTAGCCAGGCTAAGCTGCTGTCACTGACCATTTTGTCTAGAAAGGACGTTTTCCGGTGCTGGGGGGAGGAAGGATGGAGTCCCCAGGGCTTCTACCTTTTCCTGAGTTGCTCTCTGTGGACTGGGACAGCCTCTTGACCCGTTTCTTTCCTCTCCGGGCCTCATAAATGGCATTGATTCTCAACACCAGCTGTTAGACACAAGGAGAAAAGCCCATGTCAGTGGCCCATCTTTACAAGGTCCACAGGGGAGGGGCCTGGAGGGTCCAGGATGGAGGTGTGTGTGTGTGTGGGGTGTCTCTGCCTGGCTTCCACTGCAGAGGGCAAAGGGGTGTGAAGTTGGGGACATGTGGTTGGCTGCAAGCCTTACCTTGGGGATCTTCTTCTTCTTCCTGCCATTCTGTTGGTCTCCTAGGTTAAAGAAGGTGTCGTCGGGGCTGCTGGGCGTGGAGGGGGGGCTGGTTTTGGAAGGGGACCCAGTTCCATCCCGACTCAGCTTCCTAGCGTCCAGGAGCTTGAAATTCCTCCTCTCGGAATTTTGCCGGAAAAAAGTCGGTTTGGACAATGTCTTTATGTGAGGAAAAGAACAGGAGAGTAAATAAATCCAGGCAAAGGAGACACAGGCTGGAGGTAACTGGGCCTGCCCCGGTGAGACCATGGGATAGAAGGGGGGCGGGTCTGGGCTCCTGGGGTACACAGTGTGTGTCCACGCTAAGCTCAGCGGACACTTACTCTCCCCTTGTGGAAATTTGGTGTGATAAATAATGTAAACCCAACCCAGTCCCTCTTCAGACAGGTGGCAAGCCACATGGCTCCCGCACCTGGCTCTGGAGATGAGGCTTTCTGAGAGCACAAGGCACAGCTACTGGGAGTTGTAAGACCCAAGGCGAGCCAGGCCCCTGGCTGGCTCCTTGGGTTAACTGCTTCCTGTTCTTCCCCAGGCCTCAACATCCTATTTCTTTTGTCTTTTTGATGCCAATCCTGGAGCTTGAACTCAGGGTGTCCCTGAGCTTCTTCAGCTCAAAGCTAGCACTCTACCACTTGAGGTACAGCTCTATTTCTGGATTCTTTGATGGTTAAGTGAAGATGAGTCTTGTGGATTTTCCTATCAAGGCTGGCTTTGGACCACAATCTTCAGATTTCAGCCTCCTGAGTAGCTAGTATAGATATAAACTTTTATGGATGCCTGGCCACATTTATCATGTCAAACTCTCTTAAGATGGTCTAAGGGGCTGGGAAGGTGGCTCAGTGGTAGAGTGCTTGCCTAACATGCATTAGGCCCTGGGTTCAATTCCTCAGCATCACATAAGCAGAAAAAGCGGGAAGAGTGATACTGTGGCTCAAGTGGTAGAGTGTTAGCCTTGAGCTGAAGAGCCGAGGGACAGCACCCAGGCCCAGAGGTCTGGCCCCATGACCACAAAAAAAAAAAAAAAAGATGGTCTAAGCCAGGTGCCAGTGGGTCACACCTGTAATCCTAGCTACTCAGGAAGGAGGCTGAGATGTAAGGTTCACAGTTCAAAGTCAGCCTGGGCATGAAAGTACCTGTGAGACTCTTATCTCCAATTAACCACTCATAAACTGGAAGTGGTGCTGTGGCTCAAGTGGTAGAGCATTTGCCTTGGAGCTGAAGAGCTGAGGGACAGTGCCCAGGCCCGGAATTCAAGCCCCACGACCGAAGGGGGGGAGGGGGAGGGGGACGGGGAAAAGGTGTATTTTGTTCTAGCAAGTTCTGCATTCTTGTTTGGTTTCAAGTAGTATGTAGTGATAAGTTTAGAACCTTTTCTTTGTTGATATTTCTAGGACTGAAGACTCTCAGTTGTCATGGCTAGCTCCATAAGGAAAAAGAAATTGCTTAGTACAGGAGGCTTAGTACAGGAGAGGAACAGCCAACCAGGTTTGGCCACTCTTGGCATCCTGACCACTCTGAAGGAAGAGCGGCGGCCTTCTTAATAAAGGCCTCCATCTGCAGTGAAATGCAAGGAAATGCCCTAATTCTTTCACCACACTGCAGTCTGTCCAACGACTGGCAACTGGTAAGCATCTGTTTTCATCAGAGATTTAGATTGTATTAGTGTTTGCTTAAAGGAGATTTGACCTATGAAAAGATGTGAGAGGAAAGAACAAAAGAGGCGAAATCAAAACATGGCACACAACTTCATAAAGAATGCCAAGAGGCCTGGCACAAGCCGTGTGTGGGCAGCATGGCCCAGTGTCACGCTGCTGGAGAACGGGGCTCTAGGTATGTCCCAGAACACCACATAAATCACCATATACTCAGGTATTGTTTATGAGGGAGGTGGAATTTCTTGGCAAGTGTGGGGCAGGATAGCAAATTACCACTTGGTCTGTGTTACAGCCTGAGACCAGACTTCACTGAAAAAGAGCAAAACCACCTGAGCCGACTCTTCATGGCTCAAAGGGAGGACTTCAACACAGACGTGAGAGCCAGGCACTGGTGGCTCATGCCTGTCATCTTTGCTACTCAGGAGGCCAAGATCTGAGGATCATGATTTGAAGCCAGACTGGGCAGACAAATCCTCCAGATTCTTATCCCCTGTTAATCAGCTAAAAGCCAGAAATAGACATGTGGTGCAAGTGGTAGTGTGCTGGTGTTGAGCATAAAAGATGTGTGAGTGCAAGCGGCCCTGAGTTCAAGCCCCAGTATGAGCATCACAGTAAAAAAGAAAACAAGTGCTGTGGCTCCTCAGAGGGAAACAGACTAAAGCCCTGACAAGTTAACACTTATTCTCGTGTGTGTGTGTGTGTGTGTGTGTGTGTGTGTGTGTGTGTCTGCGCTTGTGTGGTCTTGGGGCTTGAGCTTAGGCCTAAGTGCTGTTTTTGAGCCTTTTGTCTCAAGGCTAGCTCTCTACTACTTGAGTGATAGCCCCTTCCAACTTCTGATGAGAGTCTTATGGATTTTCCTGCCTGAGCTGGCTTCACACCACAGTCCTCAGCCTCCTGAGTAGCTAGGATCACAGGCTCGAGCCTCCAGCACCTAGCTCACCAACTCTCCTTTCCTGAATGAGGTCAATGTGTAAAACAACAACAACATCAACAAACAGAGTATCTAAGACCAGCTCAGGTTTCCTTTATCTCATTGCTCTTGCCATATTCCCTAGGCCGGGACTAGATAGAGTAGTAAGAGAAGACGCAGGTCCCTTTTCAGGAACTGGAGAGTTAGGTTCACAAGCTCAGCATCCATCCCTGCTACCCTGCCCCTGCCTCCCCCTCCCTCCTCCTCCTCCCCTGCCCCGATCTGCTCCTGTCTGAGGGGATTCTGTCCAACTCGCCCTCCCTGTGCACCTGTATCACGCAAATCAACACCCCAAGATGGCTCAGGACTGACTGGCAGGGGAGGTGAACACAGAGAGTCTGCTTCAGCTACTTGGAGGCCCCAGCTGCAGCCCAGCTGTGACAGATGTTCAGTGAATATTTGATGAGCCGAATGGAGGAAGTGGTGGGGTCTGCAGCTGTCCCTTAGAACCGGGGGTAACCAGACACCCAGATGTGGGGGAGCAGAGTGATGTGTGCAGATGCAGGGCCTGGAGGATGACTCGCAGAGGCCCGGACAGCCTGCAAGAATCAGTGGCAACCACACAGGTGCCTTGGCCAATGAGTCTGTGTCCTGTCCTCCTCCCTGCCCTCCCCCTCCCCCCCAAATTCAGCCTCTGGATGGCAGGCTCGGGGTGGCAGCATCTCTGACTGGATTGGATTGTTCTCGAAGCAGAACAAGCTTTTCTCTGCCTGGCAGCAGCAGGTCTTTCCCATAACCATTGCACTGTCCCCACAGGGGCACAAAGGGGCGACTTGCAATTCGAGCCTCCCGTGGCAGGCCTGGGTCCCGTGTTGCTGAGTCCCTGCTTCTCTATCTATCTATGGTTCTATTTTGGGTACCAATATTGAGGCTTGCATTCTGTGCCTGGGCACCGTCTCTTGTTTTTGTTTTTGTTTTTTTTGCTGAAGGTTGAGCTACTTTCAGTTTTTGTTAAGTGGGAGTGAGAGTTTCACTGACTTTCTTGCACAGGCTGGCTTTGAACTGGGATCCTCAGATCTTTTTCTCGTGAGTAGCTAGGATTACAGGTGTAAGTCACTAGCACCGGGTTCATACCTGTATTCTTAGCTATTTGGAAGGTGGCTGAGGACAGGAGGATCATGGTTTGAGGCCAGACAAGGCAGAAGCTCAATGGCATTTTAGAAGGCTTGACTGAGCAGGCAGGGTGCAGGAGAAACAGAGGGGAAGACCAGTCAGGTAGAGAAGGAACAGCATCAGGAGGCGGGTGTGGAACTGCAGAGTATGAGGCCCCCCACAGAGTGCGGGGGGCCATCTTTTGTGTCCCTCCCCCACCCATCCCCACTCCCTGGAGGCTCATACCTTGGTAGATGTGTCTGGGATGGAAGAGGTGGGAGACACGGGGAAGGTGAGGACACACTTCTTGCCCAGGCAGCGGCCATGTAGCTCGATGTCCTCGTAAGGGTTCTCCTTCACTGGTGGATCTGCGGCCACAGGCATGGGGTAAGGGACCCGGCAAGTTTCTTCATGTGGGACTGGAGGCCTCCATGTTGGCCTCTTCTGCATTAGTTCCTACAGGATATTTACTGTTTGGCTAGCCACCAGCCTGATTTCTATTGGGTTGGCTCTGTCTCCCTATTTGTAGGCACACAAGATGAACCCCACTTCTGGTCTGTAGGCTTCAGCTCCTGTGAGGAGATCCGGCCTCAGTGATGGGTTTGAGGAAAGACTTGTGGTCCTGGGACCCATGCAGGCCCTGTCATTGCTACTGAGAATGGAGCTAACCAGGAGACGATAAGCGGAGGAAGCAGCTGGGTACAGGTGGCTCACGCCTGGAATCCTAGCCACTCAGGAGGCTGAGACCTGAGCATCATGGTCTGAAGCCATCCTGAGCTTCTACATGGGCATTGGGCCTCTTACCTAGAATGTCCTCATAAACGTTCTCCTCAGAGAAGGTGCGTGTGAGCCCCAGCTTAGTCTGGGCATACCAGTCCACCCTGCTCTCGGAGGACGTCTGCAGCAAGTCTTCAAATTCATAGGACTTCCTGGGTGGGGCAACACGGGAAGCAACAGAGAACTTGAATCAGTTTAGGGTGGGTCAGAGAATACAGGTTATTTGAGGCAAAAGTTTAGGCAATAGGTTGGCACAGGTGGCTTGCACCTGTAATCCTTGCTACTTAGGAGGCTGAGATCTGAGGATTGTAGTTCAAAGCCAGCCTGGGTAGGAAAGTCTGTGAGACTCTGATTTCTGATTAACCACCAAAAATAAAAATGAAAGTGGCAGAGTGCCAGTCTTGAAAAAAGAGAGAGAGAAGAGAGAGAGCTCATACCAAGTTCCTGAGTTCGTTCAAGTCCTAGTACTGGCACGCGCACGCACGCATGCATGCATGCACGCACACACGCGCGTGCGCACACACACAGCATCCAGTAAATAAAAATTTTTATTTTTGGTAAAAGATAGGAATACTCATCAATAAAAACATGGCTTACTTTTTAAGTTTTGTTATTTTGAGAGTCAAGAGCTATACATTTCAGGCTAGTTTGAACATGCTGTATAGTTCAGGCTGGCTTCAAACTCACGATCACACTGCCTCCCTAGTATTGGGATTAGAGGCATGTACTACCATGCCTGGTGTGAGATTGGTGACTTATGCTAAGTGAAAAGGGTAATGTGTGTTTATAGAACATAACCCCATCTTTGTAAACCTATCTCTAGAAAATTAAAACAAGAAACAAGTGAAATACAGAGCTGCCCCCTCAGGACTGAGGAGTAGCGAGTGATTTCTCTGCCTATTTTCCTGGCCTTTGAAGACTGCCTAGTGTTTATGGAGTGCACATTGCCTCAATATTCGGAGGGATATAGAAGAAGATCTAGGCATGAGAAGTTTTCCCTTCCCTTTTGTTCCCTGCCCTCCCCTCCCCTTCCCTTTTCTTTATTTTTCTTTCTATGTGTGCTAGTATTAGGGCTTGAACTAAGGGCCTGAGCACAGTCCCATAGTTTTTTGCAAGGTTGACACTGAATCACTGGAACCACAGATCCACCTCCAGCCTTTTTGTAATTAACTGGAGATAAGAATATCATTGACTTGCTCGGAGTTGGTGGCTCACACCTGTAATCCTAGCTACTCAGGAGGCTGAGATCTGAGGATGGTGGTTCAAAGCCAGCCCAGTCAGGAAACTCCCTGACACTCCTATCTCCAATAAGCCATTCAGAAAACCAGAAGTGGTGCTGTGGCTCATGTGGTAGAGCGCTTGCCTTGAGCTGAAGAGCTGAGGGACAGCACCCGGGCCCAGTGTTCAAGCCCCACAACTGACAAAAACAACAAACAACAAACAAAAAACAGTAGTCTCATGGAGTTTTCTGCCTAGGCTGGATTCAAACCATGATCTTCAGGACTCAGCCTCTTGAGAATCTGATTGGCTTTGAACTGCAATCCTCATATCACAGCTCTCTGAGTAGCTAGAATTACAGGTGTGAGCCACCAGCGCTGCCGAAGCCTGAGAAGTTTCTATGCTTCTCCTGAAGCAGAGAACATGGCAGACAAGCTGGGCGCTGGTGGCTCACGCTTGTAATCCTAGCTACTCAGGAGGCTGAGATCTGAGGATCGAGGTTCAAAGCCAGCCTGGGCAGGAGAGACCGTGAGACTCCTATCTCCAATAAATCACCAGAAAACCGGAAGTGGCGCTGTAGCCCAAATGGTAGAGCGCTCGCCTTGAGCTGAAGAGCTGAGGGACAGCGCACAGGCCGAGTTCAAGCCCCACGACCGACCAAAAAAAACAAAAAACAAAAAACATGGCAGACTTACAGGAAGATATAATTAAGCATGCAGCCCCTGCAGCCCCCTCTCCAGCCTTTTCCTTCCCTCTCTCCAAAGCAGCTACAACTTCCCTCCTGACTGAGTGACACCAGCCCTGGCCCCTGCTCCATCGCCAAGCAGAGTTGTCAGGAATTTGTCAGAACGGGCCCGGCTCTTGGCTCCGTGGAATCTGGGTGGATGTGCCTGTCTGCCGTCCTGGGACAGAGCATATACCACGCTGGGCCTCGCTCAGTCCTTACTCACTCTTGCGTGGTCTGGGGTCCAGATGGTCACAGTTTTCTGGTGGCTTGAAGTCACGGCTCTTCTCAAGTCCTTTGTTCACATGTGCTAGACAGTAAATCACTCTGACTACCTAGAAATGCACAGTGCCTGCTTCCTCCTCCACACCCCCAGGTCCTCCCACTGCTTTTCTAGTGGTTCTGGGATTAAAACACATCTGGGTAGCCTCTTTACAGGCCCTTTTTTTTTATCACAGATGAAAGTCTTGATGTGTGAAAAAAACAAAAAGCAATGTTCTCATAAGTTTGTCCAAAGTGTTGGGCATGGTAGCATATGTGTGTAATCCCAGCTATGGAGGGAGCATAAGAAAATTGTGGTCCAAGGTTCCAGGAACAAAAATGAGAAAGTGTAGCCACAAAACAGAGTAAAAGAGAAAAAGGACTAGGGTTCCAGAGGTAGCCCTCAAGACAGCTCTCCACAAAAAGAACAAGGAATGTTAGCGATGACTGCTAGCAGTGATATTAATTAATTATGCAGCGACTGCTTTATGTGGAACATGTGACAGTGCCGTGCTCAGCAGTCTGTCGGTTCAGCACGATGCCTACCCAGAAAGCCCACTCTAGAGAGAGATGGCTCGTCACAAGCAAACATTACACACCATGGGAAAAGGCCCACCCAAAGAAGGCCTAGAAAGAAAGTCACCAAGGAACTCAAGGATCAAAAGGCTCAACCAAGCCAGGTGCTCATGCCCATAATCCTAGCTACTCAAAAAAGCTGAGATGTGGGCTGGGAAGGTGGCTCAGTGGTAGAGTGCTTGCCTTGCATGCATGAGGCCCTGGGTTCAATTTCTCAGTACTACCTAAGCAGAAAAAGCCAGAAGTATGCTATGGCTCCAGTGGTAGAACACTAGCCTTGAGCTGAAGAGCTGAGGGACAGCGCCCAGGCCCAGAGTTCTAGCCCAACAACCAAAAAAAAAAAAAAAAGCTGAGATATGAGGATCAGAGTTCGAATCCAATCTGGGTAAGAATGTCCATGAGACTCTTATCTTCAATAACTGCCCAAAAGCCAGAAGTGGAGCTATAGCTCAAGTGGTAAAGTATAAGCCTTGGGACAGCACCCAGACCCTGAGTACAAGCCTCACAACCGACCAAAAAAAAAACCCCCCTTCCTTATGACTTTATCAGGTAATCCTAGGATATGTATTATATCCCAAGGTGTATGGGGGGGGAGGGCAGGGATGAGAATCAATACACAAAAAAGATATATATATATATATATATATATACACTCAGCTCTACTCACTGTGGCCTGAGTGCCAATAAAGATGTGGTATATATGCAAAACAAAAGAAATGTACATATCACCCAATGTGGAAGAAATAACTGTATCGCAAAGCTCATAGAACTCATAAATGTTACAGACCGTGATACACAATTTGCTACAGGAAAGTTAGAATGTGTTTGTGACTTTAACTAAGCTTCACTATCCCACAATAGTGTGAAATTTGGGAAATTATGTAACCACTTAATCACAATAAAAAATTTGGAAAAAAAAAAAAGATGTGGAATATATAAGCCATGAAATGTTACATAGCCAGAAACAAAAATAAAATCCCGTCACTTGCAGAAAAAAAGATACAACTGGAGAACATCATCCTGAGCAAGATAAGCAGAGAACAAAAACCCAACTAGCATATGCGTTTGCTTAGAGGTGGAAGCAAGACATAAAGGGCATGGACATGGACAGATGTACAGACACATACACATACACCCATACACGTACACAGACATATATACACAGACACAGACACATACACAGGACATACTACTTTTTTTTTTGTCGGTTGAGGGGCTTGAACTCTGGGCCTGAGTGTTGTCCGTCAGCTCTTCAGCTCAAGGCGAGCACTCTACCACTTGAGCTACAGTGCCACTTCCGGTTTTCTGGTACTTTATCGGAGATAAGAGTTTCACAGACTTTCCTGCCCGGGCTGGCTTTGAACCTCGATCCTCAGATCTCAGCCTCCTGAGTAGCTAGGATTACAGGTGTGAGCCACCGGCTCCTGGCTCACAAGACATACTTCTAATTATGGGATTGTGTAGAAGGATGGGGAGGAGAGGAGAGGGAAAAAGATGGAGGGTGAATAATTTCAAACTTCAGTGAACTATGTATGAAGGCGGCATAAAGACCCTCACCTCAGCGAAAGCTGCTGCTCAACAGGGGGTCACGGGGACAGGAGAAGAGAAGGAACAGTGGGTTATTTAGAGCAGAACATAATATATGCACGGCTGAAATACTATAGTGAAACCGTTTGGTGCAATTAATTCACACTAAGAAACAAAAAAGTACAGGAAAGTAAAAGCAGTTCAGATGGAGTGACGGCGGCGGAGGGGGAAGGGCTAAGAAGAGGGGATGAGGGGGATGGTCTATGCATAAAATATAACAATTAAACCCACTGACGTTGCCTTAAGAAGGTGGAGCAGGACGGGTGTGGGGAGGAGGGGAGTGACAGGGTGAGATTGATTGGGATATATTGTACACAAGCACAAAAATGCCACAACAATCCTCTCCCCTTTGTACAACTAAGGTATACTAAGTTTTTGCTGTTGTTGTTGCTCATAGTGCTTGAACTCTAGGCCTGGGCGCTGTCCCTGTGCTCTTCAGCTCAAGGCTAGTGCTCTGCCACTTGAGCCACAGCGCCACTTCCAGTTTTCTGCTGTTTTTTTTGGAGAAAAGAGTCTCACAGATTTTCCTGACTGGCTTTGAAATGCAATCCTCAGATCTCAGCCTCCTGAGTAGCTAGGCTTGCAGGCCTGAGCCACTGGCCTGCCCAGCTTTAGTTTTTTTTTTTTTTGTTTTGTTTTTGAGTGTTGGTGGCTCACAGCTGTAATTCTAGCTTACTTAGGAGGCTTTGATCTGAGGATTGTGGTTCAAAGCCAGCTTGGGCAGGAAATTAAGTGAGACTCATCTCTAATTAACCCCCAAAAAGCTGTAAGTAGAGATATTGCTCAAGAGGTAGAGAAAAAAAAAAAAAGCTCAGCTCAGGGACAGTGCTCAGGCCCTGAGTTCAAGCCCCAGGCCTAGCACAAAAAAGAAATCAAGGGAAAAAAGCAAAATAAATAAATAAAACTACATTTTCTCTGAGTGTACGAATCCACTAGCTGGGCTGTTGCTTGGGACACCAACGAAAGGAGGCTGAATGATGTGATGTCTCCAAGGCTCACAGCCCAGCTGTGTAACTCTAAACCCTCTGAACCTTCATCCTCCATCATCTTTCTTCTGCTGGGGCGTGGCTTTCCTGGCTTATACTGCAGCCACTAGATCCCTGGCCCAGCCCCACTGCCTTTTAATTTTTTTTCCTTAAGAGATAGGATCACAATAAAGAGCATATATATATATTTGATTTTTTTGTAACATGAACATCTTGCCCTAATCATCTTCATGGTAGTATTTTAAACAAAATGCCAAACCTAAAGCCAAAATTCTTAACACACAGCTGATGCAGTCATATTCAAACTTAGCCAAGAAAAATTTCATGTTTTGGACATGATTATCAAGAAACTGTTGGAAGATGGAGACTGGAAAGGAAAGCTCTGGTGTCCCTAAACCACTCTGGCCTCAAGGGCCAGGAAGGGCTGGTGCTCAGAAGTCTCTGCTGAGTCAGGACGCCGGGGCACCCAGCCGGTTTGGAAAGGATTTAGAATTGGAAACGGAGGCTGATTAAGATGGCTCATCAGACTTGGGATTGAGTTTTTAAAGTTAGAGGGACTTAGCTGGGTCTTGGTGGCTCATGCCTGAAATCCTAGCTACTTGGAAGTTGAGACCTGAAGATTGTGGTTCAAAGCCAGCCTGAATAGGCAAGTCCATGAGAGTCTTAGCTCCAATAAACTGCCACCCCCCACCCACAAAAACCAGAAGTGGAGCTGTGGTTCAAATGGTAGAATGCTAGCCTTGAACAACAGAGATTCAGGGACAGCACCCAGGTCCTGAGTTCAAACCCTGGGTTCTGGGGGCGCCGGTGGCTCTCGCCTGTAATCCTAGCTACTCAGGAGGCTGAGATCTAAGGACACAGTTCAAAGCCAGCCCGGGCAGGGAAGTCCATGAGACTCCAATAAGCCACCAAAAAACTGGAAGTGATGCTGTGGCTCAAGTGGTAGAGCGCTCGCCTTGAGCTGAAGAGCTGAGGGACAGCGCCCAAGCCCAGAGTTCAACCCTACACCTGACAAAAAAATAATAAAAAACACCCTCCCCCCAAATCATCTGTAACACACACACACACACACACACACACACACGCACGCACGCACGCACGCACGCACGCAGACACAGAGTAGAAAGACTTGCCAAGGGAGATGGGGACAGAAGTGTCTGGTCTGGTCCTGGCTTCGGTGGGCGTGTCCGAGCACGGAGAAGGAGAGGAGAATGGAGTAAGAGGAGCCCGAGAAGAGGACTAGTAGGCAAGGGAAGACAATGCTTCAATAGTTGTTCTGAAATACCAGTAGAGACCAATTAGGCTTTCTTTTTCTTTTTTTGGTCTGGTCGTGGGGCCTGAACTCTGGGCCTGGGCGCTGTCCCTCAGCTCTTCAGCTCAAGGCAAGCACTCTACCACTTGAGCCACAGCGCCAACTTCCGGCTTTTTTCTTTTTGCTTATGTGGTCCTGAGGAATCGAACCCAGGGCCTCAGGCATGCAAGGCAAGCGCTCTACCACTGAGCTACCTTCCCAACCCTCTTTTTCTTTTTGTCGGTTGTGGGGCTTGAACTCTGGGCCTGGGTGCTGTCCCTCAGCTCTTCAGCTCAAGGCGAGCGCTCTACCACCTGAGTCCACAGCACCATTTCCGGACTTTTCTGCTTATGTGGTGCTGAGGAATGGAACCTGGGCCTCACACATGTGAGGCAAGTGCTCTACCACTGGAGCCACCTACCCAGCCCAGGAGAGACGATCATGAAAATGACAGAGCAGGCCGGGTACAGTGGCTCACACCAGTAATCCCAGCTACTTTGGAAGCCAAAGTTGGAGGGCAGCCAAGGCAAAAAAGTGAGACCCTATCGAAACAAATAAAGCAGACATGGTTGTTCACATCTCTAATAACAGCTAGGTGGAAGGGGGTAGTAGGAAAGTCAGGATTGGCAAAGCCCTGTGCAGTTACACAAGCCTCTAGCCAAAAAATTAACGAAGACCACAGGCATGACTCAAGTTTGAACAATACGCGCCTAGTAAGATTCCTAAATTCAAACCCCAGAAACGCCACAAAAGAAAAAAAGAAAATGGCAAAGAACTGGTAACTGGATTTACCAGGAGGTTGTGGGATGCTGGGGCACGCGTAGTTTCAGGATGAGGTGAGCAGGAAGAGCTGGAGGAGACGGAAGGAAAGGAAGCAGAGCGGACGGCTTTGGAGAATTCTTCTGTAAACCTGGTTTTGAGATCAGTTATTCAACCTACCAGCACATTACAGACATGGACGAGAGACTGTTTCAAAGCGGGGAAGAAATCCTTTCCCTAGCACATACTGTATTTTCTAGCAATAGCCTGGCTTTATTATTTAACACATATTTGAATTTTTTGTTTGCTTATTTGTGCTTATACTTCAGGCCTGGGTGCTTTCCCTGAGCTTTTTTGCTCAAGTATAGCACTCTACCACCTGAACCACACCTTCACTTGTTTTTTTTTTTTTTTTTCTGTGGTTATTTGGAGATAGGAGTCTTACAAATTTTCCTGCCTGGGCTGGCTTTGAATTGTGATTTTCCTATCTCCACCTCCTGAATAGCTAGGATTACAGGCATAAGCTACAGGCACCCAGCTAAAGAGTGATTCTTAAAACCTAATACTTTTTTTTTTCCCTCCAGTCATGTGGCTTGAACAGGACTCTGTTCTTCAGCTGTATCACGTGACTCCCAGCCACCACTTCTGGTTTTCTGGTGGTTTATTGGAGATCAGAGTCTCACGGACTTTCCTGCTCAGGCTGGCTCTGAACCGCGATCCTCAGCTCTCAGCTTCCTGAGTAGGTAGGATCACAGGCATGAGCCACCGGTGCCCAGCCAAATATTCCTTTTTTTGAACGAGAACAAAGACAGAACCATTTGAGCCCCTGCTTTAACACCGCAGCCAGGTCTTGGGCCGGGCCGGCCATCTCCCAGCCACGGCTGCCCAGCAGCACCTACCTGTGGTCAGCGCTGGACCTCGGCCTCCCCGCCCACAGTCTTCTGTTCACTGAGGCAGGAGGGGGGGAGGAGGGCAGGGGTGGGGGAGGCAGGGAGGGCAGGGGGGGCAGGTTCCTCTTCTCTTTCCTGAGGCCTGGGCCTGGGCCTGGATCCTTGTCCCCGTCTCCCGCATGTTTGAACGTTCTCCGGGGTTTGGGCAGGGGGTTGATGAAGGGCTTTTGGGAGGTGCCTTGGCAGCCCTTCTTGTCCTCGGAAGCCTCCACGGACCGTTCCCTGCCCTCCAGGTTCAAGGGCTGGTGCCCCCTGGGCTGGGTTTCTGAACGACCCCCGACCCTGGCACAATCAGACAGGGGAGACCCCTCCTCTGCCTTGTCAGGCAGGCAATGTGGGGAGTAACAGGTCCCCGGCAACTGGGGGTCTAAGCCGGCTGAGCCGTCCTTCAAGGCCTGCTCCAGCCTCTTGACCTGCTTCAGCACTGAGCGGTGGTCACTCTGGGAGTGGGGTTTGCTGATCCTTGGCTCCCGGCCTCGACCGTGGCCCCCGTTGACCTGGCCCAGGTCTGCATGGGGACCCCTAGATCTTGCTGTCCTGCAGTCAGGTTCCGGGCTCTCTGGGTGAGGCTTTAGTCCATTCCTAGCGTCGGAAAGGCGAGTTCTGGCCCCCTCACCCCCTCTGTCCATCGTGCAGGAAGCCAGGGTCTCCTCTGGCCCATCGGCCCCACTGCCCGGTCCCATGGGGGACTCCTTCTTGCCTTCCCACTCAGATATCTTGTCCTTTATGCTCAGGGGCTTGGATGGGTCCCCAGCTCGGGAGCAGGGGTGGGGGCTTCTCCCCGGCCTGCCGGCTTCTCTGGTGCTGGGCTCCGCAGTGGGGCTCCCGATGAGCATGCTTGAGCCCAACATGGCCACTCTGGCCCCCGGCATGCGGCTGGGGGGGCTCACCCTCGATCGCTCTCAGGGAAAGGTGTGTAGAACCCTCGTGGCTGCCTTCCAGGGCCTTCTCCAGCCTCCGCACTCCACTTTGACCCTGGACCAGAAAGACAAACACCGGGTGAGGGGATCTTGGCCTCCATTTTTGGCTGGCCATGGAGATTTGCTACAACTCAGATTCAGACGGTATATGCGATGCTTCATTGCAAACGACATACAGGTTTAAAGCCATCACCTAAAACCATCATGGAGAGCCAGCCCGGGGGCTCACGCCTGTAATCCTAGCTACTCAGGAGGCTGAGATCTGAGGATCATGGTTCAAAGTCAGCCCAAGGAGGAAAGTCTGTGAGACTCTTATCTCCAAATAACCACCAGAAAACCAGAAGTAATAGAGGGCTCATCTTTTGCTGAAAAGCTCAGGGATAGTGCCCAGGGCCAGAGTTCAATCCCCATGACTGACCACCACCCCCTAAAAAGTCATGTATGCGGGCTGGGAAGGTGGCTCAGTGGTAGAGCGCTTGCCTTGCATGCATGAGGCCCTGGATTCGATTCCTCAGCACCACAGAAGCAAAAAGCCGGAAGTGGTGCTGTGGCTCAAGTGGTAGAGTGCTAGCCTTGAGCTTAGGAGCTGAGGGACAGCACCTAGGCCCAGAGTTCAGGCCCTACGACCGGACCCAAAAAAAAAAAAAGGATTGTGGTTCAAAGCCAGCCTGGGCAGGAAATTCCCTGTGAGACTCTTATCTCCAGTTAACCACCAGAAAACTGGAAGTGGCGCTGTGGTAGAGCTAAGTGGTAGAGCACTAGCCTTGAGCTGAGGAGCTCAGGGCAGCGCCCGGGCCCAGAGTTCAATCCCTCCAAGACAAAACAAACAAAAAAAACCTGAAACAAGCTGGGCAGTGGTGGCTCGCATCTATAATCCTAGCCAATCAGGAAGCTGAGATCTGAGGATCGCAGTTTGTAGCCAACCTTGTAGGAAATGTTGAAGAGATTTGGCTCTCATTAATTACCAAAAAAGCTGGAAGTGGAGCTATGGATCAAGTGGTAGAGCTCTAGCTTTGAGCAGGAAAGCTCAGGGACAGTGCCCAGCACCTGGGTTCAAGCCCCAGGACCAACACACCAACACACACACGCACACACACACATCTGAAACAATACCACAACCGTGCTATTTTTGCAGCGTCTGGGATTGATAAAGTGTGCACAGCGCAGAGTGCAAGGCCACACTGCGTTGGGTACACACAAACCTCCTTAGGAGCGTGTGGCCTCCTGCAATGGCCTCTCCTGGATTTCCCCCCAAATGTAGCCCCTGCGGGCAGAGCGGGAGGACACAGGTACGTGTCTCGTGAAAGAGGGTGGGAATAAACACACAGACGTACTCAAGATGCCCTGCCCAGTACAGTCACCACTAGCTGCGGGTGACTCTATGAATTCGAATCAAATGAAAGTGTGCATTCCTCAGTGGCACCAGACGCAGATCAAGTTGTGCAGAGACTGTATGCAGCTAAGGCTTGTGTGAGGGGCAGGGCAGAAAAATACTTCCGTGGCCTAGAGCCTAAGGTGGGGTTAGACGCCTGCCAGTGAGATTTTTTTTTTTTTGGTCAGTCGTGGGGCTTGAACTCTGGGCCTGGGCGCTGTCCCTCAGCTCTTCAGCTCAAGGCAAGCGCTCTACCACTTGAGCCACAGCGCCACTTCTGGTTTTCTGGTGATTTATTGGAGATAAGAGTCTCATAGACTTTCCTGCCCAGGCTGGCTTTGAACTGGGAGCCTCAGATCTCAGCCTCCTCAGTAGCTAGGATTACAGGTATGAGCCACTGGTGCCTGGCAAAGTGAAAAAATTTTAAAGTTATTTATTAGTACCCTGAAGATGCTAAAACATTATTTTTCTTTCTTTTTTTTTTTTTTTTGGGTCCGGTCGTGGGGCCTGAACTCTGGGCCTGGGCGCTGTCCTTCAGCTCTTCAGCTCAAGGCTAGCACTCTACCACTTGAGCCACAGCGCCACTTCTGGCATTTTTTTCTTTTTGCTTATGTGGTGCTGAGGAATCGAACCCAGAGCCTCAGGCATGCAAGGCAAGCACTCTACCACTGAGCCACCTTCCCAGCCCCGCTAAAACATTACTTTTAAAGAAAACCTTTTTTTTCTTTTTCTGGGCAAGGGTGGCTCCTGCCTGTAATCCTGGCTCCTCAGGAGGCTGAGGTCTGACAATAGAGGTTTGAAGCCAACCTAGCACAGACAAAGCTAGGAGACTCTTTTTGTTTTTTTGTTTTGTTGTCAGTCCTGGGGCTTGAACTCAGGGCCTAGGCGCTGTCCCTGAGCCTCTCTGTGCTCAAGGCTAGCGCTCTACCACTTGAGCCACAGCGCCACTTCTGGCTTTTTCTGTGTATGTGGTACTGAGGAATCGAACTCAGGGCTTCATGCATGCTAGGCAAGCACTCTACCACTAAGCCACCTTCCAGCCCAAACCTAGGAGACTCTTTATCTCCAATTAGTCAGCAAAGAGCTGGAAGCAGAGGTATAACTCAAGCAGTAGAGAGCCACTCTTGAATGAAAAAGACAAATATGAGTATAAGGCCCTGAGTTCAAGTACTAGTACTTTCACAAACTAAAAAAAATAAAAAAGAAAAACATTTTAAAACTCATTGAATGAGAAAAATCTGTGGTTTGAAATGCAAAATATCCTTCCACCAGCAAAGGTAATGATTGAGAATAGAGACAAGATGTGTAGAAATTAGAAAACACCAGCCCAGTGTCCTGGGCACATTTTCTGAGTCTCTATATTGCTGATTGCATAGGGATTCAGACATTTCAGCTCAAATTCACAGAGAGGGATGAATAATTAGTGATTTCATGCACTCTGTTACTAGAACTTTCCATTCCAAAATAGCCGGATGTTTATGTAAAGATTTCTCCCTCACTTGAGACAGTGGCAACACAAATTATGCGTCTATTCTTGGTTGCACAGCATAAATTAGAAACTTGTGAAAATGCAAACTTTTGGTTTTTTTCAAACACAGTTTCCATGCCTATCAAAGCAGAATTCCTTACTGAAATAAGTAGGATTCATCACAGAGTGCTTACAAAATGAAACACAATTTTTTTTTGCTAGTCATGGGGCTTGAACTCTGGGCCTGGGCATTGTACCTCAGCTCTTCAGCTCAAGGCTAGCACGTTTCCACTTGAGCCACAGTGCCACTTCTGGCTTTTTCTGTTTATGTGGTACTGAGGAATTGAATCCAGGGCCTCCTGCATGTGGGGCAAGCACTCTACCACTGAGCCACCTTCCCAGCCCAAAACACAATTTTAATAGGTCTGCCACCACTGGATTCAGATTTTAGGGAGTGGTACAATCAGGCTGTTTCCGTCTCTCTGCCCCTCCCTCTCTCCTCCTTCCCTCTCCCTCCCACCCTCTCACTCACTCTCTCCAATCCTGGGGCTTGAACTCAGGACCTAGGTGCTCTTTCTGAGCCTCTTTGTGCTCAAGGCTAGCTCTCTACCACTTGAGCCACAGTGCCACTTCCAGCTTTTTTGAGTAGTTTATTGAAGAGTTTATTCTGCCTGTGCTGGCTTCAAACCGATCCTCAGATCTCAGCCTCCTGAGGAGCTGGGATTACAGGTATGACCCACCGGTGCCTGACCTGTTTCTCTTTTACTGAGGGTTCAAAAGGAAAACTTAGTTTCTGTTCCCACAGCGCCAGGAGCAGGTGGGGTTTAGCCTGGGTAATCCTGTGGTCTGGCCCTGCAGAAACTGTGAGGGGAACTCAAAGCTCAGTAAACCTAGATTTCTCACAATAACATAAACATCAATACAAGCTAAGAGCGCATGAAAACAGCTCTTGCAGAATAAAATGTTACCCATCCCTACAAGAGAGGACAGATAGCCGCGCCGGTGGCTCACGCCTGTCATCCTAGCTAGAGATCTGAGGATCGCGGTTCAAAGCCAGCCCAGGTAGGAAAGTCCGTGAAACTCTTATCTCCAATAAACCAGAAAACCGGAAGTGGCACTGTAGCTCAAGCAGTAGAGCGCTCGCCTTGAACTAAAGAGCTGAGGGACAGCGCCCCGGCCCAGAGTTCAAGCCCCACCACTGACAAAAACAACGAACAACAAACAAAAAACAGTAGTCTCATGGAGTTTCCTGCCTAGGCTGGATGCAGACCATGATCTTCAGGACTCAGCCTCTTGAGAATCTAGAGTTTCAGGCATGAGTCGCTAGCGCCTGTAGACTTCTTTTCTCAAAGTAAGAACTCTATGACCCTTCTCTAGACTGGAACTTTCCAAATACACAGGCCAAGTTGATCTTCCTCACTGTTCTTGGTGACATGGTAGGTAATCAATAACACATTTCTGAATGAATGGATGAACTAATGTATCAATGTGCCTAGCTAAGTACAGCATTCATTAGAACTCGTTTTTTGAGGCGTGGCCAGTTTAGGGGGTTTTGTGATTGCTCGGCAGATTCTCTACCACTTGCGCCATGCCCCCACCCTCCCAGCCTCCATTATAACTCTTGGTTGCACAGATAGTATTACTGTGACCATTACAATTATTGTCAAAAACCGCAAACCCCTAAGCGCTGCTTCGTGGTCACTGAGCTGGGAATGAGAGGAATGGCTACCTGGCTGGACGGCCTTGTTGGCTTTCTGAGCCCATTGTGCCCAGGAGAGTGATAGCCTGTTTCCAGGATTCTACAGCATGAAAGGGCTGGGGGCAGAGCCAGGGTGCGGCAGAGCCCAGTCTAGCTCAGTGACTGCACCTGCTGGGCGGACCATATCCCTAACAGAGAGAAGGCTCCATTTGGGAGGAGAAGGCTGCAGGAGAAGGCTGCTGCTGCTGCTGCTGATTATTGTTGTTGTGTGTGTGTGTATGTGTGTGTGTGTGTGTGCGCGCGCGCGCGTGCATGCCAGTACTTGTGCTTAAAAAGTGCTCACGTGGGCTGGGCACTGGTGGCTTATGCCTGTAATCCTAGCTACTCAGGAGGCTGAGATCTGAGGATTGCGGTTCAAAGCCAGCCCAGGGAAGCAAAGTCCATGAGACTCTTATCTCCAATAAGCCAGAAACTGAAAGTGGCACTGTGGCTCAAGTGGTAGAGCGCTAGCCTTGAGATGAAGAGCTGAAGGACAGCACCCAGGCCCAGAGTTCAAGCCCCACAACCAACAAAAAGAAAAAAAAAGTGCTCACGTGACTATTCACTCAAGGCTGCTGCTCTACTACTTCCAGCTTATGGCTGATTAATCGGAGTTTCTTTGAACCACCAACCTCAGATCTCAGCCTCCTGAGTAGCTAGGATTATAGGTGTAAGCTACCTGTGCCCTGCTGGGAAGGCTGATCTTATAGACAGATTCAGCTGCACAGATTTGGCACTCAAGGATGAGTAAATAGCTGTGAATCCTAGTAGGAAGAAAACCTGAAAGGCAGCTTGATGATTTGGCCTGTGGCTCTTTGGTCCCAGGTCTTCAGAGAGTAGTTCAGGGAGCAGGTTACAGAAGGGTGATGAAACTAACACTTCCTTAGTTCAGGAAGTGGGGTTAGGAAGGAGGAAGGAGGAAGGACAGTGGGGAAAGGAGAGCCATTAAGGAGCCTGGTCAACCTCGACCCCTGGAGAGAAGGGACTCTTACCTGTCAGCCAGTCTGGAGCTCAGGTCTGCGGCCTGTCTGAGGCTGCCCTGGGCCGGCCTGCACACGGTCATCACGTCAGCATGTGGAGAGGCTCCAGATGGCCTGGGGGGACAGGGGTGCACACTCAGTGAGCCGTCAGCCCTGCCCCAGAGGAGCCCATCCAGGCCCTGACCCCACATGATTCCTGACAGCTTCTATGGGGAAGAGGGGGCGGTGGCACCGTTTACAATCCCTCCCCCAGGAGGAAGCAGGCATGACCCAGAGGCCCCCCCCCCACTCAGACCCTCCCCTCTCCCGACAATCCCTTCATAGACCTTTTAGCAAATGTCAACAACAATCAAAACAAACAAAACACACTGTAACTCCTCCTTATCCACTACGGATTCTTTCAAGGTCGGGGCCGGGCCTACAAACAGACTTTACTACCTGAGTGCCTACAATGAAGGTTAACCTGTGAATTAAGACATCTGAGCCAGGCGCTGGTGGCTCACGCCTGTAATCCTAGCTACTCAGGAGGCTGAGATCTAGGGATCGTGATTCAAAGCCAGCCCAGGCAGGAAAGTCTGTGAGTCTCTTATCTCCAATAAAGCACCCCAAAAGCCAAAAGTGAAGCTGGCTCAAGTGGTAGAGTGCTAGCCTTGAACCAAGAAGAAGAAGAGGAAGAAGCAGCAGCAGCAGCTCAGGAATAGTGCCCAAGCCCTCAGTTCAAGTCCAAGGACTGGCAAAAAAGAAAAAAAGAAAAGAAAGAAAGAGAGATAAATATTGCATAAGTAACAGCGTACTGTAATAAAAGTTATATGTCTGGGCGCTGGTGGCTTATACCTGTAATCCTAGCTATTCAGGAGGCTGAGATCTGAGGATCACAGTTTGGAGCCAGCCCGGGCAGGAAAGTCTTTGAGACTTTTAACTCCAACTAATCACCAAAAGCTAGACACTTCTGGCTCCACTAGCTGTGGCTCAAGTGGTAGAGCACTAGCCTTGAGTAAAAAAGCTCAGGGACAGTGCCCAGGCCCTGAGATCAGGCCACAGGACTAGTACCAAAAAAACAACAACAAAACACAACAGTCTGTGAATGTGGTCTTTCTAGAACTATCTAGTTGAACCAGGCACTGTGGCTCACCTCTGTAATTCCAGCTACTCAGAAAGCTGAGATGTAAAGATGTGGTTTGAAACCAGCTTGGGCAAAAATAAATAAAAAAATAAATCTGTGAGACTCTTATTTCCAATTAACCAGGAAAAAGCTCTATGTGGCAAAGTGCCAGCCTTGAGCAAAAAAGCTAAAAGTGTGAGACCTAGTTCAAGCCCCAGTTACTAGCATGTACCACACACGTTGTACACACACACACACACACACACACACACACACACACACACACATCTATTTATACTGTGTTCAGGTAACTACAAGTTACTGAAACTGGAATACAAAATCAAGGATAAGCTCAGCGCCAGTTAGCTCATACCTGCAATCCTAGCTATTCAGTAGGCTGACATCTGAGGACCAAGGTTCAAAGCCAGCCTGGGCAGGCAAGTTCATGAAACTCTTACCTCCCATTTGCCACCAAAAAGCCAGAAGTAGGGCTGTGGCTCAAGTGGTAGAGTGTTACCCTTGAGCAAAAAAGCTCGAGGACAGCGCACAGGACCTGCGTTGAAGCCCCAGGACTGGCATACACACACGCACACACATATGCACACACACGTGTATGTGTGCACCCAGCCACAGACTGCAGGGTGCCAAACACATCTTGGTGCCAAAGTGGTAGATTCAGGATACCTGGGGCTCCCATCCAGCTGGACAGAAACAACTGATAGGCACGATGCTTCAATAGCAGCCCCTCGGAACTGCCCAGACGATGAAGCCATGGGAGATGACCAGCCATTTGGGAAAGTGTCATTACCCCGTCAGCCACTCCCGGTGGCCAGGTGCTGTCTCTTGACCAGGGGTACTGAGATCTAGCAACTCACATTTCTTTTTCTTTTTGTGTGTGTGCTGATCCTGGGGCTTGAACTCAGGGCCTGGGTGCTGTCCCTGAGATTCTTTTGCTCAAGGCAAGCATTCTATCACTTGAGCCACAGAGCTACTCCGGGCTTTTTCTGAGTTTATTAGAAATAAAGAGTTTTACACAGGGGCTGGGAAGTTAGTTCAGTAGAGCTTGCCTTGCATGCCTGAGGCCCTGGGTTCGATTCCTCAACACCACATAAGCAAAAAGAAAAAAGCCGGCGCTGTGGCTCAAGTGGTAGAGCGCTAGCCTTGAGCTGAAGAGCTGAGGGACAGTGTCCAGGCCCAGAGTTCAGGCCCCACGACCGGGACATCTCCCCATACAAACACAAAAAAAGAGTTTTACACAGACTTTCCTGCCCAGGCTGGCCTCGAACTGTGAACCTCAGATGTCAGCCTCCTGAGAAGCTAGGATTATAGGTGTGAGCCACCAGCACCCAGCAACTCACATTTTTTTTCCCATGTAACTTCCCAAAGTCCCTTTCCCCCAACTCCTCCGTCTTCTCCCAGGTTGCTCCAGCTGTCAGGTGACACGTGGCTGCCCAATGTTTAGCCTGGGCATGGTGTCCACCCCCAAGATAACAATGAACTTTGCGGAACAGGGAGAGGGGAGGCCAGAGAGGAAGAGACTGAGAAGGGGAGCTAGGAGCCTATTATAGAAAGTGAAGCAGAAAACCATGATCCAAACAGGCAAGGAAGGAAGAGACAAGGTCCACCAAGCCGGCTATGTGCAGAGAAGAGCACTTAAAGCTTGGGCCTGCCCAAGCAGCTCAGCAAACAATACCACAGCTTGGAGGCACTGGTGACTCACGCCTGTAATCCTAGCTACTCAGGAGGCTGAGATCTCAAGATGGCAGTTCAAAGCCAGCTGTGGCAGGAAAGGCTATGATACTCTTTTTTTGGGTCCGGTCGTGGGGCCTGAACTCTGGGCCTGGGTGCTGTCCCTCAGCTCTTCAGCTCAAGGCTAGCACTCTACCACTTGAGCCACAGCGCCACTTCCGGCTTTTTTCTTATGTGGTGCTGAGGAATCGAACCCAGGGCCTCGAGCATACAAGGCAAGTGCTCTACCACTGAGCCACCTTCCCAGCCCCGGCTATGATACTCTTATCTCCAATTAACCTCCCAAAAACTGCAACTGTGGCTCCAAGTGGTACAGCGCTAGTCTTGAGCAAAAGACCTCAGCAACAGCCAGGCATTGGTGGCTCATGCCTGTAATCTTAGCTACTCAGGAGGCTGAGATCTCAAGATGGCGGTTCAAAGCCAGCTCTGGCAGGAAAGTCTGTGAGACTCTTATCTCCAATAAACCACTCAAGAAAACCAAAGTGATGGGGGGGGGGGGGGGGGAGGATGGCAAGGGATGGGAAGGGGAAACAAAGGAGGAGGCTACAATGCTTGATAAGAAATGTACTCATTGTCTTGCCCATATAATTGTAACCCCTCTGTACAGTATTTTCACAATTAAAAAAAAAAAAAGAAAAGAAAACCGAAGTGGCACCGTGGCTCAAGAGCACTAGTCTTAAGAGCTCAGGAATAGCATCCAGGCCCTGAGTTCAAGCCCTACAACCACTACCACTACCACCACCACCAAACAATAGAGGAGCGTATATTCTGGGGTAGACCTATGTTGTAACTGAGGCTGGCTCCTGACAGAGGCAAGCCTGGAAGGCCTTTCAGGGACAGGAAGGAACTCATTGTCTGTCTCATAATGCCGGGCACAGCTGAAGCTTCTGGAGCCCTTCCACGTGGCTGGGCCCACAGACACTGCCCTTCTGTCCTCATCTGGCAGAGGGCCATGCTGGACCCCAGGCAGGGCAGCCCCTCCCCGCCAGTGCGCACTCCCGCTCGGCACAGACCCGGCCCCTCCCGTCCAGCTCCAGCTATGTCAGCCAGCGCCGCCCCCACCTCATGGGCTCAGGCTGGCGCCTCTGCACCGCTATGCCATGCCGGGGGCGTGGGGGCAGACGCCGGGAGGCACTCCCAGATGAGCCCAGGCTCCGTCCTGGTCCCCAAAGGATCAGAGCCCATTGTTATCGATGCACAGAGAGCCACGGGTGACCTCAGGGGTGCCATTCTCAAGGCGATCTTCACATCCCACAGAATGGTACTAAGTCATCTTACTCAGCAGAGAAACTCCCCATACTAAAGCCACCACTCCAAGCCAGGTGCCAGTGGCTGACGCCTGTAATCCAGGTACTCAGGAGGCTGACAGCTAAAGATGGAAATTCAAAGCCGGCCTAAGGAAAATTCAAGAGACTCTTCTCCCCAATTAACTACCTCTTTCCCCCCCAACAAAAGGCCAGAAAAATGGAGCTGTGGCTCCAGTGGTAGAGTGCCAGCTTTGCGAGAAAAAAAAAAAAACTTTTCAGCACCCACGCCCTGAGTTCAAGCCCCACTACTGGCACAAAAAATAAAAAAACAAATACACCCACCACTCCAGGAAAACCACATTCTGAGAGCAAGTCAAGTGGGCTTTAGAAATTGGAACTGAGGATCCCGAAAGGCCCCCTATCTGTAGCCAGCACCAGCGCTTGTGAATTCACGGAGGTACTGAAGAAGCTGCTCCTGTGTGACTTTTACTGTTTGCCTCTGGTGAACAAACACTGTAACGTAGGTGACAGGCCTGGCCCCATGCTCTAGCTGGGGGTCCTCAGTAAGTTCAATGACAGGGACACACTTTATTATCATTCTACAAGCCTGGGAGAGAAAGGGAGCCATTTCCTAAAGGGTGGTCCACTGAGGATCTGTTCTAGTTAACCTGGCAACCTGCTCAGATTTCTGAGCACCTCTCTAGGGCTGGCCTGGAATCTGCATTTAAATATGGCAAAGGCCTTAGATGGACCGGCATGATGGCCTAGGCCTATAAAGCCTAGCTGCTCAAGAGTGGGAGGTAGGAGGATGGAGGTTGGAAGTTACTTGAGGCAAAAATTAATGAGACACTAGCTCAAAAACAAGCTTTAGACCAAGTGCAGCAGCTTTCATCTGTAATCCCAGACACATATAGGTAGAGGCAGCAGAATCAAGGTCTGAGGCCAGCTCCAGCTAACTTAGTGCAAGACTCCAGCTGCAAACTAAACTACAAAGGACGGAAGTGGGTCCCCCAGTG